GCAGACACTAAAAGATGTTAAGGCAAGCAACTAGACAAAAATAAACAGCAAAATTCAGTTAGACTGAGCATAAAAAGACAGTCTAGTAGACATCTGGGATGGATATTGTTCAATCTGGTTTAAAACACATTGAAATTATAAAATAACTCACTTGCTAATTCAGCTTAACATGTGAAGTGTGCATGCAAGGGAGATTGGGGGACGAAAGGTACAGAGAGAAGTCCTGAGAGCTTACGTTTTGGTACCAGCTGACAGCTCTGCATTTCTGAAATAAGGAGTAACTCATCCAGAAACCCACTGACATGTTACACTGGAAGCACTTGGTTAACTCAAGTAACACTCGAGTAATTTAATAAGAACTCAGAAGAGCACCGTAGTTCTTACAACTCATACTTGATGCTTATCAGAGTGAAATCAATTTTAAAATGATGAAAAGCAATATCATCACTCAAAAGGCTCGCTTAATACCTCCACAAGCAGTTAAGGATTGTATAGTATCTCATCTTCAGCTAACAAGGTCCCTCAAACCATGTTTACAAATTAACATATCAGAATATAAAGTAATAATCAGTTAGAAAGCTTTTAAAAAAAGAAATAAAAGGGAATGTTTAGATCCCTGTGTATTTCCACAGGCAGTAAACCCCACAGTTTAAAGCCTGAGTTTAAAAAATTACATACATATCCTAAGCAAAGCTTAGAGGAGTATTCAAAAAGCTACTGACTGGGCTCACCATGCAGTGCAGAAGAGTGCTCAGGTCAAGTGATTATCAGCAGAAATAATCTGTTCTCTTACACAATTTGAGAAGTAGAATGAACAAGAGATTAAACGGTTGCTGAGGTTTTTGTTGTTTTAAACTCCAGCATGTAACTCTCCAACCAAGCATTTGTGGAAGGAGCTGTTGACCTTCCCTCTGGCCCAGGGCCTGGCACAGACACAGTTTCACTTTCTAGTCCTCATTCCTGGGTAAAGCTGTCCTGCTCAACCAGCAACAGGCTACCAATAAATACTGCTGTTAAAAGCACTGCTCTGCTGCCTTCTTATACAGATAAGAAACAGAGAGATAGGAAGTATTTCTTCTAGGTGTTTTCAAAGTTGTGCAAAACAAATAGGCGGTGCTAGACTCAGGCCTTAAATAAACAGACATTAACTTATAATTACGTATCAGAAGTTGAAACATCGAAGCCTAGTGACAGTTATGTACCTGCAGCACGTCGCTATGGTGTTAGTCTATTTAAAAATTGGCACAACTGTACTCAGACAGGACTCACCGACTAGAGGTTCCCAATTACAGAGGTCATTGTTTGGGTCTGGACTTGGTATAACTCCAAACGTCTGTAAGACTAGGCACTGCTCATGGTATCTGCAGAATTTTTAGGGATACACATGACTTGAAACTCCGTAAAACAATTAAATGATTTATGCAGCAACAGTTTTAGCAGCTTTGCGCCCATCCTCCATCTGAACCTAACTACAAATGAGGAGATTTTAAAACACAATATAGAACTATTCTGATGCAAAGGGGAAAAACAAAAGAAAAAAAAAAGCCAATCCTGCAACCTGCACTGCTCCTGGAAAACTGATTTTTGTCATACTTTTCCCTTGCTCTTTGTTTCTCTTTAGATTGAAAGTTCCAGAGCAAGGCCCAAGCCTTTTTACTTATCTGCAAAGAATTTTGCTCATCCCTGGACATTACCAGGCATCATTACTCAAGTCAAATGCCATCCCAAGGAAGTTTTCCTTTCCTGCTAACCCATGGAAGTTATCCAGAATCTCACCATTTATATTTTATGTTGCCCAGGTACAATAGTGGCAATAAAGCAAGTTATATTTAATAGATTCTCCCCCCCCGCCCCGCAACTAAAGTTTCAAAGAGCCACCCTTCCACTGTGGTGCTAATGCAATACTGGAAGTTACTAATGAAGAGCTAAGCACATAAAGCTATATGGCCTTGAAATACAGACAGATATCTGTTCTTAACTGGTTTCAATCTTCAAACAAACAGAAAACCACTCTGATTTCAATACTTGCCCACAGTTTCATTTTGCAGTGCCTGCAGGAGAGGAGCACCAGCAAGTGAAAGTGACCAGTACGGAGCAGCAAATGGAAACCCCCCCCCCAAATTCAGAGTAAAAATTCTCACTTAAAATACATTAATTGTTGGTGTGTATAAAAATGAGGGCTTGACATTATCTTATTTGTATTCAGGAATAGATAAGGACATAGTAACGTAACCAGCAGCTCTAAATGCTCATGGCAGCATTTCAGAAGTCAGCCACATGGTGCAGAAGTTCAGTAGCTGTAGGAAGTTCCTTTCCTTTTCACTACTTGCCATTTTCTAACAATAGCATGGATACCATCATTATCCACCCAACAGTAGCCTAATTGCATAAAAAGTATTTGGTTCTGAATTAACACGAACAATAAACCTGTAAATATGTGGGTTTCATTACTACTTAATTACAAGAAACTGAATTCAACAACCAGACTCAGTCTTACGACAGTCTTCTACTGATGAGCAGAAACTACGGGTATCTGTCAAAGCCCTTTGTTTGAGGTGTGTATATATTCACTACGAAACTAGCACACATATTAAATTAATTCAAAAGACCACCAAATCCTATTCTGATAGAGAACTTCTCACCAGACACCCTTATTATCAACAAGATAAACAGGAAAAAAAAGTTGTTGCATAATTTTAAAAGTTCTGGATTTTCATCTCTGATGAGTTCTCCAGTTCTCTGCTAGAAGTTCTCTACTTCTCCCAGTGCAGTAGCTTCTGAAGATTTACATTTTTCCCCTGAAAGCTACTAAATCCAGCTAGTTAGTGGATTGCTCCAACTATTGCTGGCACGTGCCAGCAGGTATTGTGCTACTACAAGCACGCACTGGACTTTGGCATGGAGTTTTGCTGTATGCCAGCGCCTGTCAACTGCGAGTAAGACAAGCCAGGTCTTTCACAACACTGCAGGATTTTACGGATTTCTTTAGTTTAGAAAAGGTTGCTCACAAAGGTACGTGACACCAGAAACCTTACAAACTATGCCTTTAAAGACACAACACTCTCCTTACCTGTAGCAAGACTCCAGTGCTGGCAAGTAAATCACCAGCAGACCGTACACTGAAGTGTCACAGTGAGCAGCAAAGTCACATCACCGCTGCATTTCAGCACACAGGCACTGCCATTCAACATCAGACCACTAGTCCATCTAGTCCAACGTCCTGGCTTACAAAAGGCCAAAAACTGATGCTTCAGAACATGGTATGCACGGTGCTGTTCATCACCTTTTAGACCCGAGGTAATTCCCTAGGAGGGGAACTCTGAGCTTTATCCGCCCTTACTTTTGCATGCAGGAATACACTACTGGTTAAAAGAAAAAAAAAAAAGCTATAGAAAAACAACTGTTTCACTAATCAGTGTGCCAAACCTCCTGATTTTGTGAAGCAGCCCTAAATCTCCATTTAAACTCTTACATATTAGAGATATGACTTAAATCCAAAGTTACCACCGATACACGTGCACGTTTAAATAGGTAAGAGGCTCCAAGTATAACATAAGCCTTAGGACTGCAACAAGTGAACAGAGCCCACATTATGACACACCTTACCTCTTCTGCAAAGAGCATTTAAACCCCGAGCTGGCTCTCGGGGCACTCCCCGGGGCTAAGCAAAGCCGAACACACTCCGGGCTCAGGGCACGGCAACTTCTGCACGCCGCCGCCGCTATCCGGCCCCAAACTCCAGGCACGGAGCTGCCGCCTCCTTCCTCCTCTTCCTCCTCCTCCTCCCGCAGCCCCCCAGCGGGCGGTGGGGTTGGGGGACAGCCCAAGGAGCAGGAGGAGGAGAAGCAGGAGAAGAGGAGGAGGAGAGGGAGCGGAGGACAGCAGCAGCAGGAGGAGGAGGAGGAGGAGAGGAGGCGGTGGCCGCCGCAGCTCCTCCCCTCAGCGTGGTCCAGGCGGCCCGCACAGCCCCGCTCCCCCTGCCCGCAGCCCCCGGCCCGCAGCAGCCGCCGCCGAGCCCCGCGGCTCCGAAATGGCGCCGGCCCCAAGTGGGTCACGGCGAGAAATCCTTTTTTTTTTTTTTTTAATTTATTTATTTATTTTTCCCTTTTTAACCCCCTCAACCGCAAAATGTGGGACGCCGCCCGCCGCGGGCCTCCCCTTTCCACAACCCCCCCCAACCACCACCACAGCAGCGCCCCTCGCCCGTGCCACCGAGCGATAATTGCCAATAAAGTTAAAAATAAATAAAAATACGAGAGGAAAAGGGGTAGGAGGGGGGTGGAGGGGGCGGCCTCCCGCTCAGCCCAGGCTGCAGCCTCCCGGCCTCGCCGTCCTGGGGCTGCGGCGGGGCCGGGCCGGGCCTGAGGCGAGGCGTGGGGCGAGGGGGGGAGGGGGGGGGAACGAGGGAGAATGGGGGGGGGGCCGGGCCCCGGAGGGCGGCGGCGGGAGGAGGAGGAGGAGGAGGAGGAGGGAGGCGGGAGCGGGGCCTCCGCGCCGCCAAGGACTCACCTGACAGGCCTCGACATTTTCCCCGGCGCTTCGGGCCCGGCCCGGGGGACGTCGCCCTCAGCCGAAGGGCAAAAAAATTAAAAAATGAAAAAAAATAAAAAAAAATAAAACAGAAAAACTAATAATAATTTAAAAAAAATAATAAAAAAATCACCCAAGCGGCCGCTCGCTGCCTGCGGGCTCCGCGTACGCCCGTCCCCTCCCTGAAGCGGGAGCCCCGGGCCCAGCGCCTCAGGCACAACGGTGCCGGAGCCGCCGCCGCCTCCTCTCTCTCAGCCCCCTCAGGGGGGAGCCGCCGGAGCCGCCGTGCGTGGGCCGCGCGCCCCCGCCCCGCTCCCCGCCGCCGCCCGGCCCGGCCCCGCCGCCGCTCGCCGCTCCCCCCCGCAAAATGGTCGCGTTCGCACCGCCGAGAGGATGCGAGCGGGGGGGGAGGGAGGCGGCTCAGCCTACCCCGCTGGCACCGCCTCCTCCGCCGCTCATTGGCCGCCCGCGCGGCCCCGCCGCTCGCTATTGGTCAGTTCGAACCATCACGGCCCGGAGGCCCCGCCCCTCCGGTCGCGGCGGGGAGGGGGGGCGAGGACGCCCCACACGCTCAAGCTGCTGTGAGCCGCGCGGCGGGACGCCGGCAGATTCGACACCCCGCTCCGCCTCCTCGCGTTTCCGCCGCTCCTCCTCCTCACCGCCCCGCCTCTCCTCCGCCGCGGGTACCCGTCCCGATTTTAATTTAATTTACTTTTATTTATATATATTTATATATATATTTAATTTATTTTTTTTTTCGCGGCGGGGTGGGATCGGCAGATTCGCCGCGCGGGGAGGGGAGGGGGGGGTGGTTTTGGAGGGAAAACGCGGGGAGGCGCCGCGCCGCCCCTGAGCGCCACGGGGCCGGGCCCCGGGACCCCCCCTCGCCTCAGGACCAGCTCCGAGGCCCCCCCTTCACCTCAGGGACCGGCCCCGAGCCCCCTCATCGCCTCACAAACGGGCCCACGGAGCCCGAAATCCCCTCAGGGCCAGGCCCCGAGCACCCCCCCCCCCCCTCGCCTCACGCCGCCCCTGAGGCGATGCGGGGCCGGGCGCAGCTTAGGCAGCGAGGTTAGAGCAAGGCGGCGGCCCCTTTGTCATGGCAGCCTGCCCGAGGGAGGGAGGGAGGGAGGGATGCTCACCGCCAGGCTGCCACGGGCACCTCCTGCCCCGGGGCAGCGGGACACAAAATCGCCTCCCCTCAGGGCCTGAGGCAGTTCCCAGGCCGTGTGTGGGGCAGGGGGGTGTGGGGAGGCTGCTGGGCTTCGCCCCGACGTCGCCTTGCCACTTTGGGAGTGTGCCGAAGTGTGAAGTTCTTATTTTTCTTGTTTTCAGCAAGCGCAGATTTCATTAGCGGCGTTGATGGCGTTTGCAGCACCACGTTTGCCCGTGCCCATCAGCAGATCCAACAAACATGCACAACTTACATAAAATACAAGAAAGTCCATGGAAGGTTTGGGGTTCCTCACACTTCTAATCCCCTAGAAATCCGTAATTACTCATTACTATTAATAAGAGCTGCTTTTTGCCATGGCAAAATAAAACATAACTCCACTGCCCGTGAACATGGCAGCTTTGGGAACAGCAACTTGCTTTTGCACTTCAGTGTTTACAGAGACTTACTCCTCAGTTTCACTACAAACAGCACGTTAAAACATTTTATTAGATCTGGGGTTATCTGAGAAGACTGGTGTGATACTAGAAATATGGTCAGCTTGTACCTAATCCTAGGAGTAATTTGAGTTCATTTAATGCCTTGCCTGAGCTTAATTTGTCCCCTTTGGAATTAGTGCCATTTTTCTGATCAATTCAGATGTGCCCTGTCCTTCGTGCAAGTCAATACTCATGAAAATCAAGCTGATCAGGAAAGAAAGAGAGGCATTCAGAGCAACTGCCTGCCCGCATAGCCAGCCTCAAAATGCACTGTGTGAATTAATGAGCCATAAGGAGGAAGGCGTATTAACAGACAGCCACATCAAGGAATTCTTTTCTTTCTCCTCTTAGCTGGATATATTGGATTAAAAGCCACTATGATTGACTTGCAGATGCAAAAGTTTTGCATACTTATGTCCCACTTGTAGGTCAATCAGACTACAATAATCAGGACAGAAAGATGTTTCAGTGAAAAGGATCTAATTTGTTTTGCTGGCAGCACAGAGCAGTTCACATTGTATGCTTTATCCATCTCCTGTTATTGACAGCAATATTGTTTTTGTGTTGGACTCCTGAACCCATTTCTTAGGAAAACAACAACTACTACACGAGCAATGTCAAACTTGTTTTATTTCAAACTTCTGCAACAGTGCATTAGTTACTGATTGATATGGAGAAAACCTCCCAGCAGTTTATTCTCTTTATATAAACACGATAACACTGCAACTTTACAGTAACCAGAACCCTGTCTCTAAAATACTTGTGCATAACTGCGAACTGTTTAAAAAAAAAGCTCGATTTCATTATTGCCAACTTGTTTCTGAACTGTAGTCTCCCCTCATGATTTCAAATTCTATTACAGTAAAAATTCCTGGCTCTGTTGACCCATGGATTGCTGTCATCAACATATTAAATACAAAGCTAAACTAATGTTTTTGAGTCTCATGACTGCAAATTAGTTACAGAAATGAGAAACAACATGTGGAAGGGAATGAAATAGGTACAGTTGGTCCAGAGTCTCATAAAGAGCACAAAGTCAAAGAAGGCACTGCAGAAAGGAAAAATCAAACGTCATTTTAAAAACAGGTTGTTCCTAACAGACTATAAAGAGTACGCTTTTCTGCATCATATTGAAAGATCAAGTTTTTATGAATCAGGTTTAACTTTGTTTAAAATATCTCTCCAAAAATGAGCTTCTCTCAAGCTGACTTTTCAGTTGTTTTAAAAATGTGTTATTTCAACCAGCACAAGCTGGGCAGAACCAATTTCACAGGTAAGCATTCTTCACAAATTAACGCAGCAAAAAAAAAAAACATGTTTAGGTGGGGCTTTTGAATCAGTTTGTTTTACGAGACTAAATCAAGGGTTGGTTTGTCGTTTCTTTTTAAGTACCTTATGTGCCACAGAGCAAACTGAAAAAAAAAAAAACCACATCTGCACAGTAAAATCGTTTTCCTGTCTGGGTTTTTGTAGCGATCTCGAGTAACGACTGTTTCTGTTGTGCAGGCTTAGTTTTCTACACTTACTTGTCTGCTGTGTCTATTAAGATGTTAACAAGCAGTGTGGGAAAAAAAACAAACAAACCTCCAAGGCATACACTGGTACCGGAAACCTCTGGGCCCAGCAGAAATTATGTATAATAAAAGAAAATCATAAAAGCTCTTCCTTTGGCTTTTTGCTTGTTTCTGAGAGGCACTTCTGAAAAATTAAGAGCTCCAGATACTAAAGAGAAACTGGTATGTAACAACCTGGTATACAAAAGGTATAAATAAGGCATTTTAACCCATGTTATAAAATTCCTGTTCATTTGCAAGCTTTTACTGACTTGAGTGGTTGGTTGGTCCTGGGCAGAGACTTCCACTCTGTCTCAATTTCTGTTAAGTGTCTGTTAAGGCAGCTCCAACACTTGACCTCTTTGCTCAAACACTTTGAGGTGCACATAGAGAAATCAATAAATAACACACGAATATTAACAGCTTCATGACGTATCTTTTTAAAAATTAGACCCTTTCCTCCGTATTTCATAGAGGACTAAAAATACTGATAGGATAATTTAAAAAATCCTTTTTTTTTTTTCTTTTCCCTCCCATGTTTAGGCAGTAGAATTCAACTAGAGTTCAATTTTGTTGCTAACCAGTTCTACACATTTCATATATTTCTACAGTGAATCCAGTGGCACAGGAAAATGTAAGTTTAAGTGCTTATAAAGCTGAATTTGTCAATTTTTGCACAACAGAATCCTACCCCAGCTACTTTAGCTTTTAATAAAATAGTCAGAACACAACATTAGGCCTAAATTTCATAGCCCTTACTGTTTACCTGTCCTTCTCAAGTCCAGATAACAAAAACTCAGCATTCTTTTGTGCCTAGTGAAGGTAATCTGTTCCTGTTCTTACTGTCCTCTCCCTCCATAGATTGTATAGAGTAAGAAAAGACGGACAGGAATACCTTGCCAAAGAAAATCGGTCCTAAATTAGTGTGAATCAGGACAAACTGTTTTCAAATTACGCTCTGAAGGGAAAGTCTTCCAATATTTTCCTCTCTCAGCACTCTGCTTATTTAAACTGCTAGGGAAGGGAAAACATTATTGAAGAGCACTTGTTTAAATCCTAACCCAAAACCCAGGCAAGACAATTCTGTGGCATAGCACGCTTACATAAAGTGCATACAATGCTACGTAACAACAGCCTTGCAGACTGAGGTTCCTAATAACTCCTCTAAGATAACTATCTAGAGTGCTTTTACCCATTTTTGTTGTTGTTGTTGTTGGCAAGAACCGTTCTCAACAACAGCGAATACCTGGGGGACGTGCTAGGAAAAGCAGGCATCAAAAGGCAAGTAGGGAGCGGGTCTCTTCATTTCCTTTTGCCCTGCAAAGTCTTCTCCTTCGCTTCCCCTTTGGACCACTAAAACCAGCAGGTGGGCTTTCAGAGAGCTGTGTTTCCAGCACCATCCCTGCTACCAAACTCACTCATTGCTACAGAATAATTGTGGGAAGGCAATTCATCAGCAATTGCAAAGCTATTCGAGATTGTAGGATACAGGGTGTTCTAAAAGTGAAAAGAACTGTTGTTCTGTCATACAAAGGAGTTTACAACCTATTCCTCATTCAGCTCTCAGTGCCCTAATAAAGTGGCAGCAGAACAGAATACGTAGGATTGTGCAGGACAGAGGGTGAGGGAGAATGAACGAACAGAAGGCAACCGGGCAATTCTTGGCACAAAGTCGGGGTCTGTGCTCTACGCCCCCCGGTCGGTGTACACGTGAGCAAGGGCCGTGCTGCATGAATCCTCGATTCGCACACCGGTTATTTTTACACAGCTGGTAAAGTGGGACACAGTCATAACCCACATCTGGCTTCACATCTTAAGGACAGTTGGTGACAAGGCTGGGGTGCGTTGGTCTCTCCGCGGCGTGCCGGCACAGGTACGTGGTTCCGCAGCACGAAGTAAGGAGTTTGCTGCGATCCCACACTGGGGATCCACGGGCACAGAGAGACCGCGTGAGCATCGTGCGCATGACATAAAGGGCACTGTGAGGCTTTGGAGTGGTGCCACTGTGCATGGTGGGTGCGGGCTGTGGGGAACAAAAGGTGCAGCGATATTAAAAATAGACTTTCCACATCCTTCATCCTGCCCGGGACAGGTCATCACATGTGAGAAGATGAAGATAAGTGCTCGAAATGTAAAAAGTATTAATCCAAGCCATGTGCTCGAACACAGGCTGTGCTACATGACTAGCAGCAGAGCTTCCAGTCGCTGCTGCACGAGAAGAAAGAGGAATCCTGTTCTCAGCCTTCTTCCACTTCTCACTCCCAGTCACTGCAGCAATGCTTTACCGAGCATGAATATGCACTAAGGAGAAGACAGTTCACTATCATGTAAAAAAAAAAAAAAAAAAGTGAGAGCTGCTTTGAAAACATAAAATAAAAAATACAAAAAAAGAATAAAAGGACATTGCTGCTAGACCCAAGCAGATGGTGTAGTCAGTGCACCTAACAGCAAGCCCAGCCTGGTGGGGATGCCTCCTTTATGTTAATGTAATCCCCGCTCCCAGAAGCAGAGGAACTTCCATCACGGGTGGACGAAGACATCATCTTTTCAATCAGGACTCTAGAAGACAAACACACGTGACTTTGGTTATTTTCTTATACAAGCAGCATTGGGCCACACAGCTTTGAGGCAATACAAAAAAAAAAAAAATAGAATAAAATAAAGAGAAATAACTCCTCCTAGGAGAACACACAATTCCAGAACTTGAAGGACTGAAGAGTAAGGTTAAGGAGCCTGATCCGCACTGACAGCAGCTCCACTGCTATTTCCTGGCAACACCAGGAGGCTGCAGTGACCATAACTAAGGCCTGAGGACTGGGACACTGCAACCAGTTACCTACCCAAGGTACGGTGCGAATGCCCAACGCTGCTGCCTCTCACCTTTCAGAACAAGCAAAATCCTCTCTCGGATTAGTGCATAACAAAAGAATTTCTAATATATTTGCACCAGGAGCCCCATCCTCCTGGAAGAAGGCAGCATATGGGAAAAACCCATCCCTGGTACTGATTAAAGCATTTCTGTTCCCAAAAGCATGCCGGAGCTTAACCAGGGACAGAAGAACTTCTGACCTTTTAGAATTCAGTTTCCCTTCAGGAGATTTACTTGCACGTTATTGCTGCCATTTGTTACTGCCTGACAGCATCTCCCCTCACCTCAGATGGCGGTGTCTGAGAGAGGGAATTAACTCTTGAGATGCTCCACGAGGCATTGTGCCTACCTCATGGACTCATTAATGTTCTTGTTTTCCTTGACAGACGTCTCCACCCAGCCAGAAAAGCCGTTTTCTTTGCTGAAGCGATCCACTTCTTCTCTCGTCACTGCCCACGGGGAAAGGTCACACTGCAAAAGGAGAGTCAGACATTTTAAGTTTCAGCCTTTTAATTTTTAAGCTGGGAGGGGAACCTCTCCCCTCACCCCAGCAGTGCCTGTGTGGAGGCAGCAGGAGGGCTCAGCCCCGCGCATCTCCGAGATCACAATCTGAGCGTTCCTAGGGCAAGGTTCTTAATGGGATGTTGCAAGCAGCAGTACATTTATCTCATCTCAGATGCTGCCACACCTCAGCCAAGCACGCATGGAATGGAGGTTCCTCCAGAACAGGACAAGAAAGCACTGTCACTCCTCCAAAATCTGCCAGGCCTAGCAGCACCAAGGGGATTTTAGTGCTGTGGTGCCACCAAGGCAATCCCATGGATGTCAGTGGGCAGCACAAAGAGAGTGAGGAAACCTGTCCCAGGGGAGCTCGTGTTGGTGGGAGTGCAGCCCGTGCAGTCACACGGCTTCATGCAGGCACAAACGTTACTGTAAAATTGCTATCGCAGTTCATTGCTTGTGAAGAAGTGGAGAAGAAAAGCCATTCTCCCACCCACCTCACATGTTTTTGATTCGTCTCCAATTTTAGACTCTCTCAAAGCAGGCAAGTCTCAAACTGAATCTGGGAATGGCTGCTGAGCCAACGCTGGCACGCAAGGAACAGAAAGGTACTTTTTAAATGAACGAGAAATAAATCACTGACAGACAGCACCCATTCTGCACGGCGAAACCTGACACTGCACCCAAAGGAAATGTAGCCATTCCTGTGGCAGCTCAAGTTCCTCCCGCAAAAATTCCCCAGGCAAGTTAAAGACCAAGAAAGCAGAAGAAAAGCTTTCAGTGCCCAAGGTACTGATCTCTAGCTCCAAAAAGAAGCATCCTAGGACAAAGCAGGTGCTAACACCTCCTAAGTGCCATCCAGCCTTAGGTCCTACCACTCTCCTAGGTAGAGAAAGAAAATTCCAAAGACGTTAAAGAAAGGATTAAAAAGCCCACAGGCTGTGGTACAGCACAGGGCAAGGCTTAGCAGTGGAGACATCTCCTACAGCTGGGAAAGCCCAGGTCCACGTGTACACACACAGAGCGTGTCTCGAGCTGCTCACTTTGTTAGCCAGCAGCAGGCAGGGCACGGGGCTCCCGTCTGGCAGCGTCAGTTTGCTGTCCAGGTCCTGCTTCCACTTCTGGCTGTTGCTGAAGGTGCTGACGTTGGTGACATCGAACATGATGATGCAGGCGGATGCCTCCCTGTAGTACAGCCGCGTCATTGACGTGAAGCGTTCCTGCCCTTCAGGATCAAAAGGAAAAGAAAAATCCCCCCCAGAAGTTACCATTTTTTAGATTTATTCATGAAAATTACTTGTCCATGAGGGTACTGCATTTCCTCAGCTGACATCGTCTACCTCCACTAAATAATGAGGATACAGGCACTGAGATGCATCCTGCCTCGGTGCCTCAGCAGTGCAGGGAACTGGGACAAACTGGGAGTTCCTAACCCCGACCCAGCCACTCAGGCGTCCCAGAAATGTTCTGCCCAACTCCCAGTGTAACAACTTACATTAAATTTCACATCCCATGGATGCGCAGCCCCTGGACGAGGGCGGCCGCTCTGCCTTCCAAATCTTAAACGCCTTTTGGGGACTAAATGGAAATCAGTTTCTTGCTGCAATCCTCTTGCAGCAAACTTCTCCTTCCTGTTTTCTTTTTAGAGATTCCTGATGCGCACGCCTGAACGGCGAAAACGCAGGCATGCACAGCCCTGTTTTCCTCGCCGCCCTGCATCCAGAGGTGCCATTTTCGAGCTACTATGGCACCGACCTGGCCTTTGCCCTCTGGCACTAGGGCAGCTGAGGACGGCTGAGTGGGCTGCACGGCTGGCCCACCACAAAGGCCCCCCAAAGATGTCCCACTGCTGATCCAGGCCAGCCACCCCGGCTCAGCACGGCGTCCTGTTTCCATGACTGCTGCTCGCTGGGCTCTGCTGCTCCGGGGGGGACGCCTGTTCCCAAGGAAACCCCCAGTCCTGCTTGCACAGGTCACTGAGCAGCCAGGGAGCGACTGCTCGGGCCCCTCTAGTCCTGGCAGCGAAACCAGAGTGACTTCAGTGGGGTTACACATGCTGAGACATGGGAATCGGGCCCGGCTGCCACGCCACAAATCAGAATTTGCACACCAGAGTCGGAGCTGGGAGGTTATGCACTTGGTTACAGATCAGCTCTCCCCCCATTCATCTGCTGTGCCTTTGCAATTGCAAAGAAAAGCTTGATAGAATTTATCCTCTGTGCTGCTGTGTTCTTTGCAGATGAGTTTTTAGTTAAATATTAAAACTACTGCTGCAAACTAGAGACAGCACTGCAAACCAGGACAGTCCTGTCCCTTGAATCCACAGGCTTTTAGGATTTATGTTTGCAGCAGACTCCTACTGGGGGAAAATAATAATAATAACAATAAATAAAAAAGCCAAGCACTCAAGAGCTTTAAATTGACTCCTGAACAGCTTCGTGGTTTGCGTGACGTACCTGCAATGTCCCAGAGCTGAAGTCGCACTGTCTCCGACTCTGACCACTGGACCACCTTCAGAGCAAAATCCACTGGAGAATCCCCAAAAAGAAAGGAAAGCTCATTAGGGGCATTCTGTACTGCGGGGCTTGTTCCTCCACAGCCTCTTGCCACCTCCCAGTGGCACTGTCCCAGTTGTGGCAGCTCGCACTGGACCAGCACCCGCACCAGCGGGAGTTTGAAGTGAAAGAATCAGAGCTAACCATGCGCCTTGCCCTCTTTTAAAATTCATAATCCTACAGGAAACTCAGAAAAATGCCAGTGAAATGCTGGATTTGTGGCAGTTGTCTGTTTTTTCTGCACTGCCTAAACCATTCAGCTGCTGGTAGGTACGTGGAGCCTGGCGTTTCCTTCCCGTGTGCTGCTCACCACAACCTGCAGCTCATCCTTAAACACAGGGAGCAGAAAGGGAAACCACTGCACTTTGCTCAGATTCTGATGCACCGGGTTTTCACTGCAGGAGGAAACTGCCCAGCAATGCTGTTGTCCATGCTCAGCAGGTCTGGAATGTTTTGAAGCTCAGACCTCATTAAAAAAATAAAAAAGCAGGAATAAAAACTCCTGCAGCTTACTGCTGGGAGCGCAGGCACAACCCCAAGCGCTCTGCACTTTGCTGCCCCTCTGGGCTGCGGCTCTCTGGCGTTTTCAGCTTCTGACTAATTAATCCCCTCTGGATTAATGAATACATTTTAAACAGCCCCCGCTATTCTGGGTCCTCAGAGAGGTTCACAGGGTAAAGCCCCAGCACCTGCTCCTTGGAGGTTCCTCATTTACACTGACGTTAAACAAAGAACAACTCAGTCCCGTTCCCAGCCTCCTTGTTACAGAGCTGGTGTTTCCCACATCATCTTTCAAGGTGCTCCCCCTCAGAGCAGTGACTTCACGGGGCTCAATAAGCTGAAACAAGGCACTGAGGAGCCAAGGCAGCAATCGCAGGCTGGCTGTTTGGGGTGGCTGCTCCCAGGGCAGGCAGGATGGGAAACCCGAGCCCGTACGGACAGACCGTGGGGTGCCACAGGTCGCTGCAGGCAGCGGGAGCACAGCAGGAGCTGTGGCTGGGACCTGCTGCAAAATGCAGTATTTTGGATCTCTGCTGCAAAACGCAGTGACTACGGAGGGGCAGATTTTGTGTCACAAGTCCTTGCAGGGTTTCCATTTCTGGAAGGAGAGGGGCGAGCTTCCCACTACAGCCTACCAGCAAGGGATGCTGAACAGAAACAAACGCGATGGTCGCAGCATCTTTTAGGTTGGAAAAGAGCCTTAAAAAGCCTCAAGTCCAACCAGCACCTGACAGTACCGGGTCCACCACTAAGCCACATCCCTTGGTGCCACATCCACGCACCCCTGAAACACCCTCTGGGGTGGGGATGCCACCAGCACCCTGGGCAGCCCGTCCTGGTGCCTTTCTGCAAGGAAATTCTTCTGACACCCACACTAAACCTCCCCTGGCACAACCTGAGGCCACTACCTCGCATCCTATCTCCTGTCAGCTGAGACAAGAGCCTGCCCTGTCGCTGCAGCCTCCCTGCAGGCAGCTGTAGGAGTGACATGCTCTGCCCTCGGCCTCCAGCCCAAATACTCCCAGCCCCCCAGCCCCACTCCCCGCTCCCCTTTCCCAGCAGCTTCTCTCGCTGCTCTCTGAACACATCCCAGCCCCTCAGCATCCTCCCTGCGGCCTGGGGCCCGGAGCCAAACCCAGGACACGTTCCGTGAGGGCCCCATTGCACTTTCCAGAGGCCAAATCTCCAGGTTAGACCAAGCAGGAGACCGTGGGGAGCCCGCAGGGAGGCTGCGGGGCTCTCCCCATCCTCTGCCACCTCAGCCCCCGACCCCAGGGTGCCGGCTCCTGTCTGCGAGCCCCCCCGGGGCTCACCTCCCACGGTGGATTTGTAGTGCCGGTTGAAGCTGTCGTTGGCGTAGCGCTGCACCAGCGACGTCTTCCCCACCGTGGCGTCCCCCACCACCAGCACCTTGAACATGCGGTCGCGGTGCCCCATCGCCGGCCCCGCAGCCTCCCGCTACGATCATGTGAGGGTCAGGTGGCGGCAGCGGAACCGCCACCGGCCGCGGGGCTGCCGGGACGTGTAGTCCATGGCACCCGGCCTCACCATCACGCAGGCCTGTGGCTGCTTCTCCCCCCTGGGACCAAACCCCCTCTTGCCCCCCCAAGGGTCCTCTTTGCAACCAAACAGCCCCAAGGGGACCCTCAGCTGAGCGCTTTGGGGCCAGGCAGTTAAAGCGTTTTAATGAGGGCTCTGTCTGTTAATGAGGCAGGGGCTGATAGCAGCCAGCAGCACCCAGCTGCCCTCACCATGAGGAATTGCTGCTGGTTGCTCAGGCTGAGGCTGCCCTGGTACAGCTCCGAGCCGTTCCCCCACATCCTGCACTGCTGAGCCCGGTGCCTCCGCTTCCCCCCTCAGGAAGCCGCAGAGATCCCCCACTGCTTTCCTCCCCCACTGCTTTCCTTTTCCCCAGCTAAGCAGGAAAAGGATCCATCCCCACAGGGAGACCCAGGCAGCCGCCCTGTGCCCGAATACCCTAATATTTGGGGCATGGGGAAGCAGGACCCAAGCCCCAGCACAGCCCTGTCCAGGCACAGCCCCACAGGGGATTGCTCCACACCAACAAAGAGCAAATCCCACACCTGGGGGGCAGGCAGAGCCCTCTCAGTGCCACCAGCTCCCGCAGAGCCAGGGGCTGCTTAACACCCCCCCAAATCACACAGAAGCCCCGTGCCCTGCTCTCCTTAACCCAGGTGCAGGCAAGGAGCCCCTGGGAACCAGAAGCTGGAAACTGGAGAGGAAAATGTTCGTGTATACGTAAGAATTGTACTCAAACAGCTGATTACGCCTTTTCATACACCTTAACAGATGCTTACACCTTTTACAGGAAAACTTTAAACCTGAGAAGCAAGAGGCAGTTTTCTACATTTCCCTTGGGGATAGCGTACTCTATACAAACAGTTCGAACTTTTAAAGTTCCGTTGTCAGTCACACAACCAAACAACCCTGCACGGCATTAAATGCTCCCCTACACATAGATCAAGCCCTGAATGCAAGACCAGACAAGTAAATAACGCCAACACGTCACACTAATTTGAAAATACATTACTTTTTGTGTTTTTTGGTGTGTGTGATTTTTTTATTTTTTATTTTTTTGGCACTTTGTGGGTCTGAACTGTACTGCAGCGAGAAGAACCCCCACACGGCCCCCGTGAGGCGGCAGCCGCCATTTCCGAACCACCCCTGAGGCGCAGCCCCGCCCCCCCCCTCCCCGCGCACCGCCCGTTAACGGCCATTGGCCCGGCGGCGGGGCCGGCCGAGTCGCGGCCCGCGCCTGCGCGGGTGGACGGACTACGACGGACTACGCTTCCCGGCACAGCCGCCGCGAACTACAGCTCCCAGGGTGCCCCACGCCGCGCCTGCGCGCTGCCCGCTGGCGCTCGGGCCATTTAAATGTGTGTGAGGGAGCCTGTGAAATGGCCGCGCAGGTCGCCGCGGTGCGCGCCGTGTCCCGGGCCGCCGAGGAGCCGCCCCCGCTCCCCTCAGGGGACCGGCCCGGCCGGCCGCGCGGCACCGGGAGGCGGCGGCGGGGCCCTTCCGGTGAAGCGGCGGTTGCGGGGGGCGGTAAGCGGGCCCGGCTGAGCCAGCAGCTGTTGGCGGGGCCCGGCCCGGCGGAGCCGTTGCCCCCGGCCGCCCTGCCCGGCCTGCCCGCCGCCGGCCTCTTCGCCTTCTCCCCGCTCGGCCTCCCGCCGCCGTCCGCAGCGCTGGAGGAGCGGCGCCACCACCACCACCGGCATCGCCCCGCCGCCGCTGTCGCCCCCGAACCCGGCCGTTTGGCCGCGGGGCAGCCGCAGAAGGCGAGGCGGAGCAGCCCCGCGGATGGTGCGGCCGGGAGGCCCAGCAAGAGAGGTGAGCGGGGGGCTTGGGGGGGCGCCGCTCGCGGCACAGGGCCCGGCGCTGAGGGCGGCCCCGCGGCCCTGTCCCGCCTGGGCTGAGGGGGAGCGGCTCTGTCAGCGCTGCTCGCTGAGGGCTCGCTCCGTGCCTGGGTGTGCAGCTGGAGCTCCGGGAGGCTTCGTGTTTCCCCTGGGAGCGGTGCAGGGGGGAGCTGAGAAGCAGGTGCTGTGTGAGGGTCGGGAGCGCTCCCAGCCTGCTGTCATGCTGCTGCTGGGCAGAGCTGCCCTCGGTGCAGCTTCAAAACACAAGCACTCGCATAGTAAAGCTTCCTTCTTACTCTGCCTACGTTAATGTAGGCTAGAAACGAGAAGCTGCTGGTTTTATTTTATTTTTATTAAATAAATGCCTCAGTTTTTCAAACAGGAACCTGGCTTTAAGGTCCCTCTCTCTCAGTACAGTGCAGGGTAAGTGTTTCACAGAAAGCCTCTTAGTATGAGCACACAACGCGAGCAGAAGCAACTGCGATAAAGTTAATATATTATGAATTATACTCCAGGAGTATGCATGAAAGTTTTGTGCCAAAGAAACCTAAAATGTACGTGCTTACAAAGCTTAGGTCTGTAGCGTAAACTTGCTAATGCTGTCTGAAGAATGGGCAAAGCTGTTGTGGAGATGGAGATAAAAGTTGCTTGGTTGATAAAGATGAAGTGATCATGCAGAAGCGCACTTCTCGCTGTTGTTCAGTGCTGCTAAACCACTGTCTTTGAATAATAGCTCTCAAAGCTGTTAGAATGTAATCTTCAAATTTTAGCTTGATGAGCGTTGATAAAAGCTGAAGGAGTACAAGGAGTATGCCATCTTAGCCTGGGAATGCTTCTGTGTGCCGGTTCTAGGCCAATAACCAAATAAGACCTCCTTTAATGAAGGCTTAAACAGTAATTAAAATTACCATCTGAATTCCAGATTTGCAAAGGAAAGCTGCTTGCTAACAAAGTCTGAAGCTTTTCATTATATGTCCTAGACTGCATATAGAGTGGGTTTGGGGAGGGAGTTATTTTTTTTCTTTCACTATTCTTATTTCAATGTATAATCTAATCAAGCTGCCTGTTTCTTGCTTATATTCTTATCTTTGGCCACAGGTGATAATAAACATCTCCAGTGTTTTTTTTGTTGCTAATAGTGATAGTGACTAGGGCGTTCAATTGTGTGATAACTTCAGCACTGTTATTGGCAGTGCTGTTATTCTACCTTGCTGTAGGAACCCGTAGTCTGCTGATGAGATTTTTTTGGTATATGAAATGCTGGAGTCTTTCCACTTTTTTAAAGTAAAATCTACTATTGAGACTGTCAGACATTCCCCAAATGTCACTGTCAAGCTTCCTCTGATGCAGTGGTTACTCTGACTAATCCTGGGACCCTGTTGTGTTCAGAGGATGCAGCAGTGGAAGGGGGTCTGGGTGGCTTTTATCCTGAAAATGGACCAGTGTTTGATGGATGCCCCAAAATTCAGGGTGCTAAGTGTAGGTCTGTTATTAGGGAGTATCTTCAAACAGGACGATATTCTTAATTAGAACTTGAGCTTATCTGACTTCTAAAAAATAAAAAAAATCTACAATTAGTATAATTAGAAATCTTTCAAATAAGACACCTTTAATATCTAAAAATTAACTGAGAAACACCTGCAAGGAAGTGTTCCCAGCAGCCCTGTGGACACTTGAAACTCTTCTGTAGTTTCAGCTTGGACTTGGACTCTCTGGACACATCAGGTCTAAGATCGCCTGTGTGGTTAGTCTGCTTGTTGCAGCTAGCGAAGCAGTACCTGTATGTCGTAGCTCAGTGACTGAGTAAGCTTGTGCAAGCTTCACTTCTGAGACTTCCAGGGAAGCTGATTCAAAGAACTGTACCAGTTGTTTTGGTGTCTCAGCTGAAACTGTCTTCTCAAGGTTTCCATGGTTGTAATGAAAAATAAGGACACTCGCTGTCTGTAAGAGCAAGGCATAGCAGCAGTACTGTGGAAAACTTGTATTTCAGGTCCTAGGACAGTTGTACGAAGTTAGCATTAAGCAATCAACTATTTCTTTGCTTCGTGAGTAATTCTGTTCAGCAGGCTGTTGTGAAGGTCAGCCATCTCAAGTGAAGAGCGCTGAGACCAAATTATTAATGACACAGTTAAACACCGTGGTTAAACTAAATAACTTGAAGCTATGTGTGTTTATTATAGCTTTTCCTCATAGATCAGTGCAATACAATTTTTTTCTTTAACTACAAATTAGAGCAAGAGAATAAAGATGGAATAGAAATTGTATCACTTTATGGGCAAAGAAAGGAAACTTAGCACAAGATTTTGTGCTATGGGAAATTGGTGAAAGTTTAGCTATTGCGTGTTCTAGTCAGCTATTAATGTCAACAGCTGGCTGTTCTGATCCCCATAGTGGTCCTGACAGTGTGGCACTTAGGTATGTGCATCATTGGCATAAACCAGTTCTTTGGTTTGAGCAGATTAAAATTCTGACAATTGAGCTTTTTAGCAGCTGAGCATCAGATTGCATCTCTGTCACTTGCTACATTGTGTGAATTATTTCTTAACACTAAAAGATAAGCAACTAAGCTGCTACATTTTGCTTGACAGAACTGATTCTTAGCACTTGTTGCCCTAACCTTTCAGTATTTTAACTTGGAAAAACTGAACCCTAAAAAAAAGTGTAGGGTTTTTAGCTCTGAATTAACTATATAGTCAACTGTAAAACAGGCTAGGGCAAGGTGGCTGAAAACATGGATGTGATATTTTGATACTTGTGTTCTGATAAAGGCCAGTATGCATTCCCTCTGGGGGCCTTTCAGCAATCTGTTAACTGAGGACTGAATGCCTTGGGATAGTTTTTGAAGAACTGCAAAGTCTGTTGCCAGTTTAGTAGAGCAGACTTAAAAACACATCTAATCGCTAGTACGTCTAATAGGCTTCTGCAGTCCGAATGACCTCTCTTTGCCATGTACTTTGCTTTCTGCCATGCCTTGTGCAGCCTGGTAACTGTCAGACTAAGTGGGCAGTGAGTAGTGCTACCAGTTAAAATCCTTTTTTGGACATTGTCAGACAAAAGATTATGTATTAATGCACAGCACAATTTTATGATGAAACCAGATACCAACTGTGTTACAAATAGCTTTATATTTTACTTTATCAGAAGTGTCAGCTGGATTTGAAACTTAATTTTGTTTAGCAATATCCTCAGTGTCTTGGAAATATCTGTTCTAAGCTTCAGTAAGAAAGATCAGTAGTCAAAGATTTTTTTTTTTTTTGCCAGAAAGTGAACTGCTCTAAGTTTCTTTTTCTTCTAAATGTTAATAACGCTTGCACATCTTTGGCAGCATTCTCCTTTGCTTCTATGTTTTGGATCCAAAATCAGGGAGGTATTCTGTAAGGGAAGTCTGAATGTTATGCATAGTTGTTTATCCTCTTCCCATTCACTGCCTTAAATGTCAGAAGTTAATGATGTCTTAATTTAGATGCTCTGAAATAAGCATTCCTTTTAAAGGTATTCTAATGAAGTTGTTACTAATCAAAATATTTCTAAAATACTAAACTTGAATTTGGGTGTTTTTCTTAATTCAAATCTTCCTTGCATAACAGAGGTGTACTGCATGTTTTTATTCTATAGTTGTCTTGTAAGCCAAAAGACAAGGTGCTACCATTGGTCAGTCTTTGTGGGAATAGATAGCCTTAGGAAGTGAGGTCTTCATTCATTTTGTGTGAATATGCTACAATTGCAGAACTCTAATCTCCTCTCTGTTATTGCTGCCAGAAACTCAAGACGAAAATGGCAAAACCCAGCGAGCTGACAGTCTTATAATGAAGAAGATAAAGAAAAAAAAGAAAAAGAAACACCGGGAAGATATGAGGGGAAAACGCCTGAAGATGTACAACAAAGAAGTGCAGACGGTGTGTGCTGGACTTACTCGCATTGACAAAGAGACTTTGTCTCAAGGACATTGTGATAACTTAGAAATAAACAAGGAATCCTTCAGGTATCTTAAGGATGAGCAGCTCTGCAGACTGAATTTGGGTATGCAGGAGTACCGAGTGCCCCAGGGAGTACAAACACCATTTGTGACACACCAGGAGCATTCTGTTCGCAGCAGCTTCTTGAAAACTGGCACTAAATTTAGTAACTTCATTCACGAAGAACATCAGTCTAATGGTGGCGCTCTGGTCCTTCATGCTTACATGGATGAACTCTCATTTTTGTCTCCAGTGGAGATGGAGAGATTTGCAGAAGAGTTCCTTGCTTTGTCATTCAGTGAAAATGATAAAAATGCAGCTTACTATGCTTTAGCAATAGTACATGGAGCAGCTGCTTATTTACCGGACTTCCTGGATTACTTTGCTTTTAACTTTCCTAACACTCCAGTGAAAATGGAAATTTTGGGCAAGAAGGACATTGAAACAACAACAATTTCAAATTTTCACTCTCAGGTAAGAACGGCTGAAAGGCATGCAAGTTGTGTAACATATGGATTTGAGTAATTTCATTAATACAGAATGGGGATAGCCTAAAATAGGTGAGGCATAATTTTTTCCTAAGCAGGTAAAAAAGATGTTGGGACTTCTACTGTGATTGTTTCTGCTCAAAGTTCTCTTGTGTGCACAGTGAATCACATTTCAGACACCGCTAACCCTGACCTGTAGACAGATCTCTACTGGTCTTACAAGGTACTGGTTTATCTTCTGAGCTGGGAAGAACCCATGCTGTTTGAACAATAGGCAAGTCTGTATTAACAGTTGGTTAGATCGCAAAGCAAAAACAAAAAAGATCCTTTGAAGGAAAAGGCAGTTGTAGTATTTGCAGTGACAGTGCCTTTCAGGTTCAGTATGTCATGCACAGTAGATAAGTTTTTTTTTAACATCAGCAGCTGATGCAGGGTGTTACTTGGTAGTTGTTTTCCAATTTCAGAGAGATGAGTGGAATGGCTTCTCTTTTTCATTGACAAAGACTTTCACTTCACTGTGAACATCAAGGTAGTGTATAGGCTTAAACTACCTTAAATTCTGTAGAAGTAAAACCTTTTCATGGTTGGTTTTGGGGAGAGAAACTTAGCTCTGAAAGCTGGTCTTGAGTCAAGGTCTCAAACTATCTCATGCAACTTAAATGGATGCAACAGTAGTAACAGCTAGCTTTAAGAGGATTTCCATCCTGGAGTCTTACACTTGACTCCTGTCATCAAGCTTGGAAAAGTCTTGAATATGCAGCAATGTTGCAGTTTAGGTAAGTTTGTAGCAGATGGAATTAACTTTTTTTCTGTTCAGTCTAGACTGAAAACAGATTCAAACTGATGTTTCTTTCTAAGCCTTTAGATGAAGTTAAGGTCTCAAATACTTGTCCTTTAGGTTGGAAGGAAAAATCTGGAATGCCACAGTCCACTGCACTTCAGCACTGCTGGAACAGACATCCTTTAGCAACAGACTTTGACACTGTAATGCTTGTGGTGGGCTGTCTGGATCTCTCTGAAGACTACCAAATAGTTGTAAGCTAGATTTGCATTGGAAAAGCAGTTACTGCCTACAGTAACTCTGTATGGCAGTGACTTGCAGTGTCTTTTAATAGCTGTCCAGCATCTAGCATAGTAACCATTAAATTAGTAATTGCACTACTTAGCTTATGATCTTCTTTGACAATTGATAGCTCTGCAGCACTTACTTTAGAACAGCTTCTACTTTGTGGACTAAGTAATTCCTTGCTCTGACAGCTGCATCAGAGTGCATATTGCTCCAAGATCAGCTCAATGTATGAGCATACAGACAGCTGCTATCAGCAGAGCACTTCTACATAATGCACATTTCTGCATGTGCTATACAGATGTGAGGCTTGTCTACAAGCAAAGTTTCAAAGTCTTCTGTATTAGTTACTTACACCATGTTCTCTGACATCATGATTGCATTCTAATTTACTTTGAGTGTATGTGATGGTCCCCTGAAATAGCTAAATGGTGCCAACTGGATATTTAACAATAATACTCTTTCCTGGTGGATGTCTTGGTCTTGTGAACATGAATAGCTTGTACTATAAATATATGTGAGGAATGTATGGTAATGAATAAGAGGCTTCCCAGGGTTACAGTGTATGCTGGTATTTCAATTCTATTTTAAGTACTCTAAACTTGAGTCATGACACTAGGTTCAGTTAGGTTGAAATGCCTCTCTAAACCCAGCTTTGGCATGCCTGATTAATCTTCTCCAGTTGAAGTATGTTAGTGTGGTTCACACACTGAACAAGCATGTATGGAAATAGCTGTCACACTTCTAAGACAACTGAAACACAAGTCTTCAGAGTATAGGCAATGCTATAATAGTTTAAAGATGCACTTAAATGCATGATGGCTTCAACTAGGGCAGATGCGTTCTGCTAAAGCTCGAGTCCTGCAAGCTAGCTTACCTTTAGAGGTGGCTAAAATGCTCTGCTTCAGAGAACAGCGAGGATAACTCAGGCTTACGGCTATTCCTTGGCAGCACTAAGGAATGACCAATTTAAGTTACACTTCTGGACCTTCCTGTATGAGAAAATATACAAAACAATAGTATGTTATAGAACATCATGCCTTTGCAAATTAAGCATGTCACAGGAAGATTGTATGCTCTAACACTGATTTTATTGTCAGTTGAGGATGCTCAAGTAAATCACCTCAATTTTAAGGTGAACCTTTCATATGTGTGAACTCATGTGCTGTACTGAACCATGCTGTGTTGTGTCAAGAAATCAAATTCACTGGAAGTTAACTTGAGTGCTGGCTTGTACAACGTTCAACTGGTTTTGTACCCGTTCAGACAAAATGAGTATCAATAGGAGGTGTATTCTGTTCAAAGTAAGGTCTTGAATCTGGAAGACTTCACAAAATCTAATGGTTAGTTCATTTGCAAGGTGAATTTCTCTGTTCTCAGGGCAGTGAGAATAATGCAAACTGAATTATTAAAGCAAATCACTCCAATGTGAATTTATACTATATCATTTTTGATTTCTGTATATTAAAATATTTAACACAATGTGCTGTGTTTTTGCTTGTACTGGCTCTGGCTTATTCTAATACTGAAATGCCTGTTCTTTCAGACAGCGATGAACACATTTCTTAGTATGCAAGGTCCTAGCTTAGTCCATATTGTTAAGACCACAAATACTAATACCACTGAATTGTGTTAGTGCAGCTCTGAAGGAACCGAGGGGAGACAAGCTACATATTAGGGAATTTTTTGACAATATTAAACTGTTGAAATGTAATGCTGATGACTACTGAGGTGCTTGAGATGAATACCCCAGCCTGCTGGGACAGCAATGAGTTGGCAGGTAGTTTTTAATAACTTAAAGGAATATAAACACTTGAGAATTAAAAACAGCATGTGTTTACACTGAAACTAAACAGAAATCTGAGATTTCCTAAAAGTATTTTTAGTGTTTTCTTTCTAGCTCTCATTCTCTATTTTTGAATCTTGTTCCAGTAAATTAAAAGTAATGTCAAAGCTCCTGGTTTTCTATTCCTTTTGAAAACACTACTCTTTAAAGGAAAATCTTGCATGTGGTGTTTACCACTTAATTTTGACTTTCATGACAAACACCTGTGAAGTACTAGTGAACCTCAAGTCATTACAGTAGACCATAACTCAGCTAGAAATAGTCTTTCTCATTTACTTCAATAGCACCAGGCAGTTAAACTTAACTGGTTTAAGGACCAGAGCATGGATGTAAAGCTGTGTATCTGCAGGGAGAGGTGATGTGGTATAGCAGGGAGCTTTGGGCTGAGGAATAAAGCTGTATGTGAAATCATCTTTGGCTCCTCCGTAGCTTTTCACTGAAGTACCAATGTGTCTGATCACTATAGAACTGTCAACTGGCTATACGCAAAGCTAAACAAAGAAGACCCTGGAAAAAGGAGTGAAGTGAACTCCTATAATTATTCCCAGTATCTGTGGTTGCTGCTACAGGATAAAATAGCAGCAGTAGCTCTAAGTCTTTATTAATCTATCCTAATTTACTTTTAACGACTACATGGAGTAGTTTAACTACACTTGTTTTATTGTCTGAAAAACTAAGTGCAGTGCTTTAGAACTAATTACTTCATACCCATCTCTGTGCTGGGCTGTAACTTTTCACCACTGGAACCATACAATGAATACAGGGAGGCTGCTGAAGGGTGATGGAAGGTTGGAGTTCAGATGAATTTGAGAATACAGACTAATTATTGCAGAATTGGTGATCTTTTAAGACTGAATAGCTGCAGCATCTACATACAATGTGGCACATTACAGCTGCAGTCCATACAAAAAGGCTAGAGAATGATGGAGTCTTGCTGCTGGTTCTCCTCTGGGTATGGGAAATTGGCAAGAAAAGTATCCAGAAGACCTGAGAAAGTGGGACACTGCTGCATGGGATGTCAAAAAACAGATTAAGGTGTTTCTGGTCACAGGTGTGACAGCAGGTTGTTACAAATGGTAATCTTAAGATTGTTGTAGATAAACACTGAAATGTACACCTGACCACTGATTTCTGGTTAGACCTCTCAGGTCCCAAAGTTCATTGCTATTGCAACATTGTCAGAACCACTACCTGCAGGGGACACAGATTTTTCACTGGTCATAGGGGAAGACCTTCAGGACATGACTGAAATGAAGCATGTACATATTTCAGTAGTATACAGTTTGAAATGTAGAAGCAATACTCAGCTGTGCTAATAAATAGTCTTTCACCAGCAAGCTTAAACTGAGTTGCAAAGAAACTTCACATGGCGATTTTCTCAAGTCAGCATGAAAGCGTTGAGTTGTTCCTGAATTAGTCAAATACTAACTCGCTATTATTCAACCTATAGAAGCATGTGCTATCAGTCATTTGAACAGGAGTTATTTTCTCCTGGGGTACCCTACAGATAAGGATGTTCCAAACAGTCTCTTTGCATATTCCTAGAGACATCTCTAATGAAATAGTTGTAGGTTTGTATGAACACTGGGCTATGGCCTAGTGCATTATATTAAAAATGAATCTCTTGAAACTTAAGTGGTGGTGTTTTTTCCTTTCTGGCTACTCAGGTCAATCGAACATACTGCTGTGGAACCTACAGAGCAGGACCAATGCGGCAGATCAGTCTTGTTGGAGCTGTTGATGAAGAAGTTGGGGACTACTTCCCAGAATTTCTAGATATGTTAGAAGAATCTCCATTTCTGAGAGTAAGCAGTAATTTGTGGTGCTTTTCTTTAAAGACCTATAGATATTTAAATAATTATGAAGTTTCATATATTTTAAAGTAATTAGAAACCTTACAAATATTTTCTCCATTGATGTGTTTATCATTGGAGCTACTGAAGATTGAGGTACGTTCGTTCCTGTGCCCAAATGAAAGGTGTTGAACTGACTTGCTACAGTTTTGGAAATAATTCAAAAATTAAGTGGAGTTTATTATCATATATATACACACACTACCTAATCATTTATCTACTTCCCTAAAACCTAAGTTAGGTAAAGGTAGGTTGCAATGTATTTTACCTCTCAGAATGTCAGTTTTTATACTATTTATCTGACAGTAGGTTCAAACTAGTTTTACTAAAGGCACTGTTTAATATATCCATCTCATCCAGTGCTTTGTGCTCTGTTTTCTTAGATGACTTTGCCCTGGGGTACTCTTTCTAGTCTCAGACTTCAGTGCAGGTCACAAAGTGATGATGGTCCCATAATGTGGGTGAGACCAGGAGAGCAGATGATCCCAACAGCTGATATGCCAAAATCACCATTCAAGCGACGCCGGTAATGCTTTTTTCTGTATTAAACGAAAAACAGTGCAGTTATGTATGCTTTAGATTTGAGAACAAAACTGCTATTTTATATATAATGTGTTATTTATGATGGTTATTTTATTTCATCACTTTTTATTATAATATGTCCTTGATGAATGCTTCATTAATACTGGCACCTGTTTTGATTGTACTTCAGGAGATATGCTTATTCAGCTAACTTCCGTGGAAAGAACTAATTGTGTGGGTGAAATGCTCTTAAACATATCAGATCCTTTACACCATTAGAGTTGGATTTTAATATTAGTGCTAAAACAGTTGTGATACTGTCTTCCTTCTCAGGAAATAATATGGTGCACATATATAAACTTGCTATCTTTCTCAGAGTGTGCTGTAGAAATTTTAGGAGCTTAAGAATTGGAAGCGTATTTTAATCATAATTTCCAGCAGAATTTCTGGAGGTACTTCTAAATAATTAAATAATTTAGTATCTTTTAAAATAGCTCTATTTTACTTGCCATTAAGTTTCTGGAAGAATGTTTTTACCACAGGTGGAAAAAATATATATATATTTTTTTAGCAATTGCATTTGTTATTTTATGAAGTTTGATCTCATAATCTGAATTGTACTTAGTTGTATTTGATTCAATCTTTTATTGTCCAATACCTACATAAAGTCGGTCTTTGATTTTGAAGCCTGCTGTATACAATACTTTAGGAGTATTTTAATACAAGCACTTATTTTCTGAGTAGTCTGCCATATTTTTTAGTATGCCTTTTAATCATGTTATAGGTCAATGAATGAAATAAAGAATCTCCAGTACCTACCTCGGACCAGTGAGCCCCGTGAGGTTCTGTTTGAAGACCGAACAAGGGCTCACGCTGATCATGTGGGTCAAGGATTTGACTGGCAGAGTACGGCTGCTGTAGGTGTTCTGAAGGCTGTGCAGTTTGGGGAATGGTAAGTACCATCAAAATGGGACTATTACCATGGGTGGGGGCAAGTCTAAATATTTTTCTCTCTTAAGAAAATTTGTTGGAAAACAAGCCTCATTAAAGAAATTGTCTAAAGCCTGTAAAATAAATGCAGTCTAGAGGTGAGAAATATAGGCTATGTATCTATTATTTTCTCTCTTGTTGAGGCAGTACAAAAGTTGTAACAGCAGTCTGCAGAAAATTTTAGTGACATACAAAAAAAAAGCCTCAAGATACCACGCCTGGACCATCATCTGTGATTGTTCATTTCCTGAGTATGTATATTAGTGCAACTCTTGTAAACAGTAATCGAAGATCAGTGATGTAATTAACTTCATAGCTACAATGCTTTTTCATTTTGTGTACTTAAGGCATTGCTGTTGATCTTGCGTAGAAACGACAGACTCTCATGGTTATTTTGGACAATTACAGTAGAATTTTGGTAGCATCATTAGCAATATTATTAGATTTTCATATGAATAAAGCTGCCAGAACTTCCTTTACCAATTCACAGCCATTAGACAAAAAACAGCTGACTAACATTGTCCTTATTACAGTTTCAAAGTGCTGCATTGTTACATTTCTTTAATCAGGATTATTCTGTATAATTGTGGAAGAATTGAGGTAAGTTTTGGCTTCTAGAATTTACAGGATACTTCGGTATAGCAGCAATTTGAACCTCCTTGTCTGACATGTCAGTATAGTATTTGTCCACAAAAATCATCACTTCTGTTGTGCATGCATCAATAAAGTAAAATAAAAAAAAAAAAAAGAAAAACCTACAAATAATACCTACTCTCCTAAATAACATGCATATTTACTGAGGAGTGATTAGACTTCATGTCCAGAAGAAAACTGAAGCAGCTTGTTCAACGAAGCAATTATCTATGTCAAGTTTTTTAAAAATTCCTGTAATTATCTCTTTCTAGGAGTGACCAGCCTCGTATAACCAAAGATGTGGTTTGTTTCCATGCTGAAGATTTCACTGATGTTGTGCAGAGACTTCAGTTGGACTTGCACGAACCACCAGTGTCACAGGTATTTAATCTTTCCTACTGACAGCTCATTCTTAGTATTTTGGAGATAGCTTCTGATAGCTTTCAGATTTGCTCTATAGCCAGCCCTTCTGCATCCCCAGTGGCTCTCAGTTCTTGCCTTCCTTAAGCAATTTTCCTTGTTTCCTTTCCACCAAGCTGGGATCTGTGCTGTGAATCACTTTATATTCTTCTGCCAGTCTCACCTCAGTGTCTTAGTTTTACAGTTATGATGACTGAAATAACCTGAGACCAGCAACCCTCACAGAGCAAAATCTACTGATCTGGAATAAATGCATTACAAAAAGTATACTGTAGAGAAAAAATATACCACTGATATGTCTCCAGTATAAAAGTAACGTTTTTTTTGCATAAAAGATTCTGGCAGGTATTTACTTGTAGTTGAGTCCAATGGGAATTACTTTCCAGCTTCTATCTCAGATACCCAGGTTTTAACTATACACTTTGGAATTATTGATGGGTGTCTCAGGTGACTTTTCCACAAGGTCTTTCTTTTTTTTAACTTGTCCTAGGGGTTGCAATGATTGCTGCAGGCACCTTGCCATTGGGACTGGAATGCCAGCTTTTATACTGTATCAATGCCTTTAAACATTCATCTCGCATCTTGACATCTCACATCTCGACATAATGCTTGTGGAATGTTTCATACTTTTAAGTAATTTTTCAACAATGTGTGGATTTTCAATTGCTCAGTAATAATTTTGAAGATAAGAAATGGCAGGTACCTTTCACAGAATCACAGATTTACTGAGGTTGGAAGTGACATATTAAGATCAAGTCCAGCCCCTCTGTGCAGGTTCAGCTAGGGCAGGCTGCCCAGGACTGTGTGCAGTCAGGTTGGGTTGTTATCTCCCAGCACTATTTCTGGGTGGAGGTATTGCTAACTTAACGTTAATCATTTTCCTTCTTTCTCCTTTGGGTTTGTTTATGTTTGTTCTACCTCCTGTTGGTAATAAGAGGTCTATGCAGTATCTAAGTACTGAAGCCTGCTGGGTAGGTAGCTCCCTGTACTAGCTAGTAGTAACGAACAGTGTCTCGAAAGTATATGCTATAGGAACAATTTTAAATTGATTAAAAATCATGTATGCCTCTTTCTGTCTTTTTAATACCCTGATGTTGCCTTAGGATATGAAGGCATCTAAACTCAGTTCTGGCAGCCAAAACAATGCAGCCTTATGTCAAATCTACTGTTTTCAGCTATGACTGTAGAGTGTTTTCAGCTGTTCATCATCCTCTCAAAGATGTACACATTAGATAAATGAGAATTGGATTTTTTTAATGTAATTTTAAAGAATGAACTCTTACCTGTTTGAATAGCTGCATTCTGATCGAGGTACAAAGTGTGTTGAAAATAGGTGGATACTGAATTGTTTACCCTGAACAGAGTATACCACTAACTTTACCATCTTTCCTTCTCCCAGTGTGTTCAATGGGTGGATGAAGCCAAACTAAACCAAATGAGACGGGAAGGCATTCGCTATGCTAGAATTCAGTTGTGTGACAATGACATCTACTTCATCCCTAGAAATGTCATTCATCAGTTCAAAACAGTGTCAGCAGTCTGCAGCTTAGCTTGGCACATAAGACTTAAACAATATCACCCTGTGGGGGAGACTTCTCAAAGTACAGAAAGCGATTCAAACTTGAACAGTAGCGTTCCTGGAAAGACAGAGTCAGAAGGTGAATCACAATGTGTGAGTGTAAAAATAGAGGCTGAAGAACCAGGTACAGAAATGCAGCTTACAACAGGGGTGCTTTCTTCCTCTGTTTCTTCAATATCAGGACTCGTGCAACCACATCAGGTGGCCCAGCCCCTTCCAGCTTTTAAAGTAGAGTCTAATCAGCAACACAATCCACAGGGTCATGCAGGCTCTTCTGTGTGATATGTATATAATCAAACATTTTTTAACAACTTTTTAAAATTTTGATGTGAAGTTATAGTTTTATAACTGGCTTATGTTTTATTGGAGAAATCTTGCCTATAATTCTATAGAGAAAGGTGACATTCCAAAATGTCAAGCATATCTTTTTTACACAGATTATGCAAAATTCAAGTTGTATTTTAACCCCTTAGTACAACCTGTAACAGTGGTCTACCACTTCTTTCTGTTTCAGTAAAGAGATATTGAATATCTCCTCAAAATCAGAATGAAATTCCTCCAGGAACATAAAATGATTGAACTGTATTGGTCAGTGTTATTTCCCTGTTTTTACTTTATTCTTCACCAGAAAGTGATGTTTTCGTAGAAGGCTTACAAAGAACTTTCCCATCTCATTTTAATTGCTTAAAAAAAGAGAAAGCACAGCACTTTTGTTGATGTTTTGTGAAATTTTTGGTATGTCTGTTGTTGACATGTTGGTTTATATACAAGTTGGTTTATATACAAGCTCTAGAAATTGATCTGTATTTCTTACAGTTCCTACAAAGGTGATCTGTAAAATTAACTGAAGAAAGTGTCTGATCCTGTTGAAATGCAATGACTTACTGACCTAACACTTTTCATAGCACTGCTTATTAGTATTTGGTGTGAGGGTTTTGCTTCCAAAGTACATCTTCCCGGAACATGATTAATACTAGTGTCAAAATCAGAGAATCTATTGGTAGTCTTATGGAGGAAACTGCTATCTTTGAGCACTTTAAGGCTTTAAAATGCTAACCAACTTGGCAGCTTGTTTTGATCAGGTCGTAATATATGTCCAATGGAACCACACTTTCCCTTGTACTGATGCACTTAATATAATAGCGTTGAGTTGGTAACTGACTTACACAACAAGAATGTCCTTATTCTAGGAAGTTCTGTATTACTGTTTCACAATAAAAAGTATTATGGCATTGGACTGCTGTTTCCATGTGTAGCTTTTGGGTGCCCAGGTACTGTGGAAAAATCAGTGGCACGTGCTAAATACGTAGAGTGTCAGCTATCAACAGTTCTTGAACAATCTTTCAATATTTCTAAATGTTAATGTGTAATCTGTATTTGACTTTCACTTACCCCATTTATTATTGCCCTTTCCAGTCATCAAAAGGAAGAGTCCTGTCCCTCTCACCCTCTCCCTTCCCCCTACCCACATTTAGAGTACAAGTTGGGTTTTGGTGCAAGTTAAGCTGTGTCCAGATAACTTTGTTCTGATCCTCAGTGGGGTAGGAAAGATTTGAAACACTATGTTAGACTAGACAAAAGCAGAGATGCTGTGTTAGTTCTGGATGCATCTTTTTAATATCAATTATTACTCTTCTCTTTATAAGGGTCTCTAAAATATGTTACTCTACGATAAATCTTACTTTGTGCAATATTGTTTGTGTAGGCTTTTATATACATATTAGCACCTCAATGTAGAGGTCACTATTTTAAACTGATAGAAAAATAATCATCAGAAGATACTGCAGTGATTAGTTAGAACCTGTATTACTCCTTATGTGTATGTATGTATTGTCTTCGGTACAAAAATGAGGACTAGGAAATATTTCAATTTAAAACTAACTTACAGATTGAAGTGGTAGTGACTTGTTTAGTAATCTGTGTAAATAAGGTGTTAGAATGGAAAGCTTTTATGATAAAATGTGATTCATGCAGGGGTGTAATTTAATCTTAGCAGAAATTCTAGATGATCCAGACTGGTTCATAAATGAGCAGTCTGTTTTCTGGTGGGTTTTTTCCACTTTTTATGTTGAGAGGAATTTCATAGCTTTAAGGGTTGTGCAAAGTAAAATTCCTCACAGGCAATAGTGGTTTCAGTTCATCCTTCACATTTGAAGATTGTATTACCCAAGGGTGTTCTTTCCTTTAAGAAGTCTGCTAGTCTTCCAAGTGCCCGTTTTCCTTCTCACATGTGCTATTCTTCGGTTGTGTCAGTAGAGGTACATAATAAGGTGGGTGTTCTTTGTCAGTCAGCACTGTACAATCACTCAGGAATGGACAAATCTGCAGCTACTTCAGTGATTCCACAAACATCTTTAATGGCACAATAAACTACTTAAGAGCCCCCATACAGCAAATTGTCTACTTTATATTAAAAGCTGAAATAGAATGAAGGGGGAATCAATTTGGAAGCCCTCTGTAAATTCTAGTAGCATTTTTTAAATGGATAAAGGAAAGAGACCAGAGTGGCACAGGTTGCTTGTAGATCTCTAGGTTTAGTGAAATCTGTTCCTATAGCCTGACATACCACAGAAACGCTCTGGCATCTCTTTGGATGGAGGGAAGTGATCTGTAGTACCATGCACTATTTACATTCAGTTCAATTACTAATGTGATATCGATCTAATATCAAATTTAAATATAGAAATGTACCTTCAAATGGCTTGAATGTTGCTGATACTGTTCTAGCATGCTTGGAAGACTGAGGAAGAGCAGAGCAAACTGTATACAATCTTTATAAAAATCTGTTTCCAAAGTATATTCTCAACTTTGTTATGCTTTAACCAAAATGACGTTCTGCTTTCAAACTCCACCTCAGATCTGGATGTGTAGTATGAGAGAGATTGCTTGTGAAGCTGGTCGCCAAACTTTCTAGCCATTACTTTAGAACCACTTCAATTCCACTGAAATCAATAGAGCATAGTTAGAACAATGCTTTGATGTGAAAGATGCAAACATTTTTTTTCAGCAAAAATGTTGATTTTTTTTTTTTAAGCTATGGCTATTCAGAAATGAAGTAATGCATTGAAACCATTTAGTGTACAAGCAAAACAAATCTCTGGTTAAGTCAAAGTAATTATTTCTGAATATATCTCACACTAAATAGCTGCTTGAATTTCTCTAAGATTTCATAAAAAAGCTTGTATGTAGAGATAATCAAACTGGCATATTTCATGAGTTGTTTTAATAGATCTCAGGAGTACCACCAGGAGAGATGCAGAACAGTTCATAAATGCCAGTGCTGCTCAGTTACTATAAACTATCAATTCTCCGTTTATGTGGCTCCTGTGATGTTTGTGCCTAATTTCTTTTTAGCTTACGTCATCAGCAACTATCTAGAAAAACACTCGTGCTTTGTACTGGGGACAACTACTCCTTGACCAAGTATTCTAAGCCTACAGGCTTAGGGTTCTGTTTTCAATACAGTGCTGTTGATAAAAACAACTGTCAGGATAAAGAGGAGTGGCTCAGTTGCACAAGTGAACTAGCAGAACACAGTTTAAAGACGAAATATCAGTTATCTTCGCTTTCCTCTCTCCTTCAGCCATGCTAGAAGTCGTTCTGTGCAGGTACTTGACACATTCTCTTCCAGGAAGGTGGGAACACTCACTGGAGTGTTCTCAGGGGATTTATAATAACCTTTTTTCGTAGGTACAGATCTTGCCATACAGAAAAAGGGCTCCGTACTGTACTCTGTCAGATCTACACATTACAGTTTAGTTCCCCTGGACGATGCTAATTGTCAGATCTTCTACCACAGACAAAAGTTAAAGTCCTTCTCCTGGCACGGCCTGCCATTTTCAGGTCTCAACCAACTGAGTGATAAACTCCTGAAATCCGCCTTTCCTAGGAACGCGAAGCGCTTGTAGGCGTTCGCCTGTCTAAGGGGTGCAAGAGGAGCATTTTGTTTTTTCCCCCAGAAAAGCAACCTTCCCCCCTGAAGCCCTGCGTGCTGTCCTTGCGTCTGTCCGGCCACAAATCCCACCAGAAGCCCCCCGGGGCAGGGCGGCCCTGGGCTGCCTGTAGCACATGGCCCCAAGAAGCGTCACGGGGGCACTCCGAACTGCGTCTGAAGGCATACGTATGCTTCTGGTTTCTTTGTACAACGTGTAAAGAGAGTTCTGTATTGCTGTTTTTGTGGTTTGATTTGGATTGGCAGCTAAGATTATTATTATTTTTTTTTTTTCTGTGGTTTTAATTTATCTAAGGTCTTTGCCTACAGAGGACGTGTACAATTGCCTGGAAGACTGTTTGCTTTGTGCGGCCTTAGTATATTTATTGACATTTAGCAAGTGTTTTGCGAGGTTTTTACGACGAGCGGTGTAAGCGCTGTGTGAACCCTCTGCCGCGGTGCATTTCCTCCGGTAGCTGACTGTACGAGAGTGTCAAACTGTTAAGCTATTCCTTTGTAAAATAGTTGAGCGGAATGCATAGAATTTTTTTTTTTTCTTCCTGTAAAGTATTTTTTTAAATAAACAAAGTCTGATTTTGTCCCTTTATCCCCGCCTCGCTCCTTGTCGCGCCTCACGGGGGCGGGCCGGGGCCTCTCGGCGCTCCCCTCACGCTGCCCGGCCCCGGCCCGGGGCGGCGCCAGGCGGCGGCAGCCGAGCACCGGGCGGGCGGCGCGCGGCGGTCTCCGGGGTAACGGCGGCACCGGCGGACCGGGACCGGGACCGGGGGCTGAGGCCGGCACCGGGAGCCCGGGGCCGCGCCTCATGGCCGCGCGTGACCGTGACGCGATCTCGTGGTACCAGAAGAAGGTGAGTGCGGCGCGGCGGGCGCGGGCGCGGGCCCGGCCGCCGCCTCAGCCCGGTCTCCTTGCAGGTCGGGGCCTACGACCAGCAGATATGGGAGAAAGCCATCGAGCAGACCGAGATGAAGGTAACGGCGGCGGCCCCCTCGCCGTGAGGGGAGCGGGGGGTGGGTGTGTGGGGGGTGGGGAGCGCTGACGGGCCTTTGTTTTCGGCTCCGCAGGGCTTCAAAAGCAAGCCGAAAAAGAAGGGGCACATCCAGCCCGACCTGATCGACGTGGATCTCATCCGAGGTGAGGTGAGGGAGTGCCCCTGAGGGGAGCTGGGGCCGGCTGAGGGCTTGCCTCCTGCTAAGGGCTTTCTGCGGGCCCCGGGGGAAGGCCGCGGGCAGGGGCAGGAGGAGCTGGGCAGGGGCAGCGTGAGGGCTGGGGGGCGCAGAGCTCGTTGGAAGGGCAGCAGCAGGGTGTGGGTAGGGTGGGGGCCTGCTTTTGGGCACGTCTGCCTGACCTGCACAGGCTGGGAGGTCGGGCTGGCTCCCCTTCGGATGGCGGCATCCCGGCAGAGCTTGGCCTTGGCCAAAGAGGAAGTCACAAGTAAGAAAATTCTTGTAGTTCACCTATAATGACTTGTTTATTTTTCCTTGAATGTCGAGGTTCTACGTTTGCCAAAGCTAAGCCTGAGATCCCTTGGACGTCACTAACTAGGAAGGGAATTGTGAGAGTTGTGTTTTTCCCACTGTTCAGCCAGTGGTGGATACAGGTCACTTCCCAGCGTATTTTTATGTGGCTCCTGGTACTCTACCTTATGCAAGGTAAGGAGTAACGGTAGTCTGTGCCACAATCTTTTTTTTTCTGCAAGGAACCTGATACTCTTCCATAGTCCATAATAAAAAAGATAAGGATCCTATATTTTACTTGTCTGAGCACTGCCTGCAGACGCAGGGCAAAGCTTTACCCTCAGTGTGTTCGTGGGTTCCGTGCTCCCGCGCTTTCAGGTGATGGGCTAACTTCTTGTGCTGTGTTTGCTCTGCCCTGTCTTGCCGATGAGGCACTGGATCAAAACTCAAGAGCCACACTGAGTCCACAACTGCCTTCTTTCCTGTGGAACCTTAGCCAGCTGTGCTTTGGTGTTGCACAGATCCATTTGGAAAAACATGCTTGGTCCTTTCTGACAGTAAAATCTATTAATTTAGGCAGCCTCGTACTATCTGTTGGGCATTAACATTTTAACCAGTGAAATCACAAGTGAATGCTTCTCTGCAGTTCCGCTGTCATCCAGTAGCTGATTGTTTGTGCTGTTCTTGATTTGTCCTTTGAAGTGATCTTTCAGCTTCCTTTTTCTCTTTGTCCAGTATTTATTCTATACTGTTTACAGTACAGTATTATTTGCAGAAGTTATAATACAGAGTAAAAATAAGTAGTTAAGACAGAAGTAAAAACTGAGTCATGCTTTTGCATTTGATACAATTTTCTCTTTTTCAGTCATAGCAGTTGTATTGTATTTCATGATACCTGTGGTGAATGCAAGTGAAGTCATGGGACCTATGTGCCTTATGTTACTCATGGGAACTGTTCACTGTCAAATAGTGTCCACACAGATCAGCAAAACTTCGGGAAACAACGGACTCAGCAGGCGGAGGAGGTGAGAGAGGTAATGGGTTTATTTGTTGGGATCAGAGCATATGATGGATTGCTCATGGGAGAATTTAACGAGTAAATATTTTCTCTTCTGTTTTTATGTCAATGTCATTTAACTGCAAATGTAAAAAGGAGTATTTTCTGTCTTGCATGTAATCTTCTCATAACAAAGACAAATGCTGCAAAGTTACCAGGCTGTGATAGGTCTGCTTTAGTTGGCATTTGGGTCTTCTTTTCCTAAGGCACCCTCAAGGTTTTGCAAACCAAACCGGTGTCCTGCTTTGGTTTTAACTATACCAGATTGCTGATGTTTATTGAGAAGAGGCGAATGATGATGCATATGACTGGTCGATTCATTGCTGGCAATTTTCTTTGCATGTGGGAAATGTTACAGGTCATCTGCTAGGTATTTAACTGTTAGGAGTGTTACTCAGTGCAAATGCAACTGTAATATATCTGAACAGAGAATTAGGGGTGTGGTTAGATTTTTGCTACCATTAGATTTCTACAGTAAAGATTCTATCTAGATTTTTGTCTGTTGTATCCTTTTCAGTTCCTTTGCTAGTGACACTGATGTCTTGTGTATGCATAAATTCTGCTTATCCACGTAAAATTTATTCTATTTGGAAATAAGCCTCCTGTCAGCATGACTCATGTAAAATAGCATCTAAAATGCTGTTCAAATCTGATTCAGATCTTTTTAAGAAAGAACTAAAACTAGCTTGCTATGCAAATTGAATTCTCCTTTTATTTCTTCTAATCAGGAAATTACGCAAATCTGTGGGTGTTGATGGGAACAGCGGGTCTTCTCCTGAGAAAGCCAGTAAAGAACAGCAGTCGGAATCTGCATCAATTCTTAACAGTTTATTTGGCATGCTGTTCCGAAGGAGGTATGTGATCTTTGCTGGGTTTGGTGTGTTTGTAACGACACTGTGTGAACAATTCAGTATTTGGAAAATGAATACAAAACGTGTGCTGTCACTGATGTCCCCAGGGTCTGCCAGCTTTGGAGCTAAGAGCATGCTTGGTATTGTAGGAGTCTTTATTATGTCCTTGTTAGGAGATTGTATTATATCTCACACTGTAGCTGAAATTAAGTGGTAGATGGGGGAAACCTGGGGGAAAAGGAGGATGGATTGTTTGGGATATTATTTCATTGCCTTTTACTGTTTTCTCAAGCGAGCTTCCAGATGAGTTTTCAATTGACAGATCCTTTTCCTTGATGCAGACTTCTTGCCTTCTGAGTTGCCCTTAGCTAGTTTTTTGAATAAGAAAATATTTCCCTCTTGATTTAGAAGTTTACAGTTAGAAAAATGGTGAGAGTGAAGCAGATTTAAGTCTCTTCAACAGAATCAGGCCACAAAGAACCTGTCAGAAGAAGACAGTTACGTATTCCCTCAGCTATTGTTTAATGTTGTACCTGCATGGCAAGTGACAAGAGACTTTGATGTTTTCCTCAAAGAACTTTTCTCTGACATAAAAGCACTTAATTTTGTTTTCTCTCACAGGGTCAGAAGAATAAAGATGGTAGCTGAGAAAGGGACTGAGACAGAAAATGGTGTGAATGCTGTGAATAATGGTATTAAGCACAGACATGCCAGATCTGAATACAGGCTGATGCACTTGAAAGAGAAAAACAAACTTTCAGATGCAGAAAAGAGCCATCAGGTACTGGCAAGAAACATCCATTTGCAGTGGCAAGTTTTCAGTACTTTCTGTGTGTGCCCAAAAGTTTCTTGGTACTTAAGTGTATGGATGGATCCAATTCAAGGTACTCTCTTTCTCAACAAATCTTTGCTTACATGTAGGAAGCCTATAAACCCTTTCTGCTTCTGGACTGAACAGTTGACGTGTTGCTAATTTTCACTGTAAGCACCTTTTCGTGTGTCTCTTACAATAGTCAAGTGTGTTAATCACAGTCAGTCCTGGAAAATGTCTGTTTTACCTAACTGCTTATTTCATTATAAGATTTCTGATCGTAAGCTGCTCAGTTAAGGAATACTGCTGATAATGATTACAAATAAATTAGAAATTTTCAAAAGCAGTTCTGTAAAACATTTTCCTTGCAAACGATTCTCATGTTATCCTCTGGAAGACTGAAGATAGGAAAATGAAGACTGAAATGTCTCTTGGAGGGTGAGAGAGACTAAGTTAAGGCATCGTGATTGCTGTTTAAAGCTCTAAAATAAGAAGCTTTGTGGAGTTACTTTTGAGGCTCCTCTGGGTCAGTAAGGTGTTACCTCCAATATGAAGAACATAGATTAGAATTTGTTCAGAACAAATTTCTTCAGCCCTACAGGACTGTAGTACTGTGCGGTTCCAACTTCTCTGTTTCTAGACATTTGGAGATAAGAGATTACTCTGTATCGTGGTGTAGCAGCAGCACTGGCTCTGAACCTGCGGTTTGATGCAATTCAGGTTGGTCCTTTTGGTGCCTTCATCTTATTTTCTGCATTTCCAGGATGATTGCACCAACAGAGATGGTATTTCTGATGACCTTTCAAGTGAGGAGGATGCTGAAGCAATGGCACAAAGGATCTTACTATGCCAGAATGCAGAAGGGGCTTCCAGTGACAATAGCTATGAAGAGCAGAAAAGGCCTCTCATTTCTCTGAACCAGGCTGTCTCACAGGTACTCATGTTGAATTTAAGCCATTTTCCACGCAACTTTCTGCTATGGATCATGGGTTGTTTTTCCTTTGTTTTTGGCAGGTCAAGAAGCCCTTAAAGGTGCCAGAGACTCTGATAGTGTCGTGGAATCTGAACTGGAGTCCACAATATATAGTCAGGTACGGTGGTAAATTCACAGGCTTAACTTTTCTGAGCCTGACCAGTGCGGGGATATCCCTCCCATCAGAACAGACCATTATTAAATAATAGTGCTTCAGCATCTTCAGGTATAACGTGTGGCATCCCTGCATGCGTGTTTGCAGCTTTGTGGACTTCATTCACAATTGTGACTATTCTATTCTGTTTAACAACAGCAAAAAAAAAAAAAATCATTCTACTAGCAGCACATTATGGTCCAAGCTGCCTTGAATTGCTTGTATTGAAGGCCTGGTGTTTGGGAGGCAGCACTGTGTTGTAGCTTTTATGCTAATAAATTCTGATTCTTGAAGAAATACTTTATTCTCATATACTTGTTCACTTAATTACTTGCTTATCTTCCTGACCCACTGCTCCCACTATCTAAAAATAAAATACAGATAACATCTATGGATATAAATATTTAAATAAATAAAATCTTAACATAGATTATGCAGAAACCAGAAAAACTTTGCATTAGAATTAGTGGAATCAGCCATGGAAGCTGATTTGTCTGATTGCTTGGAGAGGGGAATGCAACTTGGGTGTGGGGCTGTACTGTGTAAATTTTGTTCGTCTTCAAAGGACTCGAGATCCTGCATTAGCGTGGGATCCCGGAGCTGTAGCGTGACCCGGAGAGACTCAGAAAGTACCCGCCAGGACTCTGAGACAGAAGACATGCTTTGGGATGATCTGCTTCACGGCCCAGAGTGCCGCTCATCCTGCACCAGTGACAGTGAGGAAGTGACAGTGAAAGGTACCAGGCGAGACCTGAAGGAAGATGTTTTCCAGCAGGTTTGTTGTTTTGCATGCAGTAGAGAGTACTATGAAAGGGTGTTGTTTTTTTTTCTTTCTTCTTCAATTCAACTACTCCCTCCCCCCCTCCTCATTTGTCTGCCCAAATAATACAAAAGATGCATCTGAATGCTGTTGGTATAATGTAAGCAACCTACTGCTGGATGAGCCCATTCTGGCAGCTGTGCTAATCACACAGAAGACTAGAATGATCTAAACAGGATCAATGAACTTCCCCCCACTGTCATCTAGACCACTGCTAATCTCAAAACAAAGTGTTTCACTCAAAGACAACTTTGGAATCCCCTTTCAATCAAAATACTCAATAGTAGAATTAATTATTTAGTAGTGAGACAAAAATGCATTATGTTCTGTTGTGTTCTTTTTTCTTTTATAGAACCATTTGTTTTGGCTCCAGAATACAAGTCCAGCATCTGCAAAAGTGAGTGCACTGATCTGGGAAGGGAATGACTGTAAAAAGGTGGACATGTCTGTGCTGGAGATCAGTGGAATTATCATGAGCAGGGTAAGAGAGCTGTAAAGCATTGCAATCTTTCTCCCTTACACTTTTTAAAAAACAACAAAAACTGAAAATAGCTACACTGGCAACCATGGAATGAGGCATAAAACTTGGTCCTCCCACAGCTGCAAATACAGTTGTCCTAAATGTACTTAGGACTTGCATAAACCAAAATTTATCAAGTCTTGGCAAAGACTGGTGAGCATTTTTTGTTTTGTTTTTAATTGGCAGTGTTTGGACTGAAATGGGTGGAACTTTATGCTCTGTCCTTTGAGGCAGAGGGGAAAATGAGTGCTCAATTCAATTAATGCTGCCACAGCAGCATATGTTTCCTTTGATGCAAAAAACCTGGTTGATCACACTGTTTTTGTTCCTGCTTGCCAGGTTAATGCCTACCAGCAGGGAGTGGGGTATCAAATGCTGGGAAACATCATCACCATTGGATTAGCATTCCTGCCATTCCTCTACAGACTCTTCCGCACAGATAACCTGGAGCAGTTGTGCTCCTTTTCTCTAATGGAGCTTTTGCACATCTTTTGTGGAGCACCTGCTAGCATCCCCGTCATTGTTTTGTCTGCCATCAACTTTCTTGAACGTCTTTGCTTAACCTGGATGTTTTTCTTCATGATGTGTGTTGCTGAGAGAACATACAAACAGGTATGCTTAAATATGTTGAAACTAAAATGTTTCATGAACCGTGGAGCAGTGGGTCTTCCAAAACCATGCTACAAATCATAAGACAATGGCAAGACAAACATGTCTCAGCAAGCAGAAGTGTTGAATCTGGTAAGATGTGTTAGAAACCTAGGTAGGTGAGTCTGGTAAGACTATTTATCAGACATAAGCTTGTTGATACACTTGCTACTTAGGAAAAAGCATACTTAGCATTAGAGAGTTGGCGACATCACATTCAGCTCTGTCATAACTGGGCAATAGCTTTGTCCAAATGGTTCTAAATATTGCATGCTGTGAAGAACGTCATCATTTGCTGGCTTTGTGGCTACCCCTGTGTAGCATCAGCAGTTCTACCTCTGCCACGCACAAGATGAACAAATGTCTGAGAGGTCACGCAACAAGACCCTGCAGCGAGGTTTTCCCAGAGTGCTGTAAAGCTAAGGCTTTCTGCCAGTTACTGCTAAGCAAACCCTAGCAATGATTTTCCTTGGTATGTTTTATTATGTTTTCTAATTTATGTTTTTTTGTGTTATGTGTGTTTTTAATTTGCAGAGGTTTTTATTTGCCAAACTTTTTAGTCACATTACATCTGCTCGGAAAGCTAGGAAATATGAAATTCCTCACTTCAGACTCAAGAAGGTAGAAAACATTAAAATCTGGTTATCCCTTCGTTCCTATCTAAAGGTGAGTTCTAATCCAAGAATGGGTGCGTTTGGTTACTACAGTGAGTGTAAATGAAGTCTCTAGGTACGTTACAGGTCTCTGCAGATCCTACATCCAAACCTTAGACCTGACTCAGTGTCTTTATTTCTGCAGAGGCGAGGCCCCCAGCGATCTGTGGATGTTGTTGTATCATCCATCTTTTTACTGGCTCTTTCAATTGCTTTTATATGCTGTGCTCAGGTAAGATTTTTTTTAAAGTAGTTAAAAAAAAATACAAGAATATTTTATTTTGCAGAACCTATGTAACGCTTGCATTGTAGCTGTTGGTCTCCAAAATAGTTTGGGGAGTGGAGTTCTGCATTTTTAAAAACTTTGTGAAGTGTAGTTGGTTATAGATGTTCATTCTCTACTTTTGTGGTGGAAAGCTTGGATTTTGTATAATTCAGATTTCAGGACAAAGGCTTTTTGCACAAAATAAAGGATTCTGCCTAAGCACCTCGTGTGTTCACAGGACATTTTATTTAAGAGGGCTGATTGCAGCACCATCTTTAAGAACCCCTGTGGTTGAAAAGCAGCTCAGTAACTATTACACCTTTTAATTCTTCACTAAACCTTCTGTTACAGTAAGTAAGTAGTATTAATACAGGAGCTCTCTCTTGGTTTCTTTGGTTTTCGCAAGAGATCAATTCTGTTTTTTAGGAAAATTCTTAATATCATAAAGATGGCAGTTGTGATGGAAATAGGACTGATGATTAGGAGATACTGACTTTCACTGCTGTGATTGCTTTTGTAAGCCACAGGTTACTGGAGAAAGCAATGACAGTCCCCATCCTGCTGTAATAGACCTGATGAATAAATGCACTCCTAGGAAAGGCAGAATCAGCATGGCTGTGGTGGTCTAAGGCTGTGCGACAAGCACACACAAGGAAAGACATTTAATTACTAGTTAATTGGAAAGAGGGAGGAAAAAGAAAGTACAAGCTTTCAGGCTAACACATCTTTTTCTTGGTGGAAAGAAAAAAAAAGCAAATGCCAAGCTAAAACAAGGTTGTAAACAAGGTTTTTTACTTTAACCTTGTTACATGAATGAATTATACTTCAAAGGAAAAAGCATCAGTCACTCCAGAGCATGGGTATCTGTTCAGAAGAGGAATGAGGGCAAGGCTTTTGCACCTCTCCAAAGAATAGGCATGTTAGTTGTTACTGATGTAGATGTTTTTGCTTTCAATACAGGTCCTGAAGGGTCACAAAACATTTCTGAATGCAGCTTACAACTGGGAGTTCTTAATCTGGGAGGCAGCACTTCTCCTCTTTTTACTACGCCTAGGATCCTTGGGATCTGAAACCAACAAGAAATACAGCAATATTTCCATCTTGCTTACTGAGCAGGTACCTCCATGCATGTTCTCCCTTTGGCTTTATGCCATTTTTGGATATAACTATTGCATTTCAGACCATCTTAAAAAAAAAAAAAACAGCATTTGTGCTGCACTGCAATAAAGCAATGTAACTACAGCTACGGAGGGACAAGCTGGTAAACATTAGACTGACTCAAATTTTAAAGTTTTAAATTATTTTTGGCTGGGCATTAATACATTTGCCATGTCAGTCAGGAAAATAATGATTATAACACTGTTGAAGTCCTCTGTCTGTAGATGTTACCACTTCTTTAGGAGTGAGATTGCAAAAATGACTAATTTTTCCAAAGCCAGAAATTGTTTGGAGGCTAGGGTTGGAATATTAATCTCGTCTGTAATGTTTATGTCACAGATAAACTTATACCTGAAGATGGAGAAGAAGCCAAACAAGAAAGAACAGCTGTCGCTAGTAAACAATGTTTTGAAACTCTCTACAAAGTTACTGAAGGTAAGTTCATCTCCCTAAAAACAGATTGTTTGCAACAAGCTGAGCAGCTATGGCTAATGACAGTGACCATGTGGTTTTGCTCTTTCCAGTTCCATTGTGTTTTGATTAGATAAGCTAGGTTTCACAAAGGGAGTTTGTGCTTCGACAACAGTGGTATAAACTCTAGTAATACAAGATTCATTTAGCTAGTTATGTTGCAAACATTTGACTAACAGTGGCTTGCTACAATTTAGAATGTCATTTTCCTTCAGCAACTTCAAAGTGGAAGTTTCTTGTTGACAGGGGCAGGGCAGCTATTTGAAAAGAAAGGGCATAGTCTAAAAGCCACCAAGAATAGTCTAAACAAATTTTGCAGCCTGTTGCATCAAACTGTTGTTATGAAGCTAGTATTTATACAGAGGAGGTTTTTTTCAGGTCCAGGATGGCTGTTAGAAAACATCTGAGTGGGGAGGCCTGAAATCCATAGTGGGAATTTTTACGTGAATGTATAAGTAAGGCTACAGAGGCAGCACAATGTCTTTCAGAAAGCCGATATTAAGCTAAAAAGCAGATTAATTGCTTCAAGTATGGGCTAACTAATGACACGTTGTGGGTTGTGTTGTGTTTTGTTTCTTTTCTCTTTCTTTCTCTTACTGTAGGAATTAGATACCCCATTTAGGCTGTATGGGCTGACCATGAACCCATTAATCTACAATATAACACGTGTTGTAATACTTTCTGCTGTCTCGGGTGTTGTAAGTGATCTGCTAGGATTCAATATCAGAGTAAGTATAATTCCCACATAAAGAAGAAAACTCTTGGGCATGCGGGTGTGTCACCCTTACACCACTGAAGGGGAATTTGGCACCCAAGCAAAAAGACTTGGTTTGAATTAGGCTCCTTCTGCTTGGTAATTCAGAGACGGGACCATCTTGAGTCAAGCTCTACCTCCCTGAAGCAGCTTGTGGCACGGGGTGGGGGAAGGACAGCCCTGTCTTAAGTTTCAGCCCTGCTCAGGCTTGCTTAAAGCCAGTAGTCAGAACCCTCAGTTCTGTCTTCAGTGCAGGATGGGTGAAGGAAATGGGAGCCTTACCTGTAGATGAAAAGCATTCAGCCTGGTGGCTTTCAGGGCTATACTCATTCTCAACATCTCTTTTCAGTTATGGAAGATTAAACCCTGAGCTGACCAAACATCAGCACTCAGCCATCTGCTCCACCAGGACAGACCAGAGCCCAGTGGCTTGGGCAGAAAGCAGAGGCGCGCTCACACTACAGAAAGATGTAACCGCCGAGGGCTTCAACAGTCTCAGCGTATGTACTGAACGTTGTTCCTCTGCTGTACTGTTCTGTAACTCTACTGGGCTTATTAGTTACCTTATGGCATACACATGTACAACAGGATAAAGGGGGCTAAATACTAGTAGCTGAGATTGAAAATATCAGGAATTGTGTGCACATACTGTGGGGCATCAAACACGGTAAGAGTCATGGTACTGCTCTTACTGGGGTGGCGCGATGGGTGCCTTGTTTAACACCCATCAATCCTGTGCATGAGCTAAACGAAGAGGCCTCCTGGTTCAGTCTGCATCATTTCCAGAGAGCACTGGAGCTACACTGACTTCAGAGCTCTGTTCAGCTAGACAATACTTAAAGGCAGTTACCTGAATGTGCTGAGGGCTTTGCCTCTTTATCGTGAGCTACTGCAGGATGCAGTGAAATTCAGTCCGCACAAGCTGAACACTGCCCCTACGCTGACAGTTGTTGAGCTTGCAGCTGCATAGTAGATACAACAGATTAATACTGGGTAGCTTACATTAGGCTTACTGCAAATAAATTACTGTTTTTTTGAAAACATCAGTTACGTGAGAACAACCTTACAACACAACGCATAGAACAGCTGGCAACTACAAGTATTTTGCTATGTTCATTCCCGCTAACATCTCCGTTAGGGTTAGTCAGTGGGCAGGTAGTAGCACGGGCTGTGTACAAAGGACATGCTCCTGTACCTACTGGTGACGCACCAAACCCAGTGTTCTGTGAAGCTGCTGCAGCCGTGCACTGCACTAGTGCCTTACACTGGAATACCTAAGGAAGTGTTCTGTTGCGTGGATCAGGTTAGTGGGAGATAAGTTACAAAGACCTCACTTAAAAATAGATTGTTTAGAAAAGGCATAGGAGAGAAAAAAAAAAAAGGCTATCAAACTTGCATTTTCCTTAAGTTTTGTGACTATTACCTTCAATTATATTAGCAATGGAAAAAAACAAACCAACCAACCAACCTTCTCATAGCTTCATTCTTTCACTTAAGGAGTAAGAGGGCATGAGAATCTTGGGTAGCAAATTGTTTATAGCTATTTTCTGTACAAGGAAAGATTGTAAGATGGAAAAGGAAATGACATTTTTATATATCAAAATGTACAAATAAACCTACAGTACAAGTATTTCATCGTAAACAATTGTTTCTACTTGACTTCATGATTTTTATATTACCTTTGTTATTTGAACCCGGAGTCCAGAAAACTTCCAATAATAAACTGCATTTGTTTTCCAGAAGAGTATTATGTTTGTGGGTAAAATCTGGGTTATATATTTATCTGTTTAAAGTATCACACCACTGAAAGTCAGCAGACAATCTATTTTATACAGTGCAGAACCAACAAGCAACAAACTGGACTTTCTTTTTTAATATCTATATAAAAAATAATGAGCGATTTACAGGTCTCTCTCTAGTCAGAACCTCAGAAGTATGTATAAAGGTGCTGTACATTATATAAACATTTACACCCAGTACATCCATACATTGCTTAGCATTCCAAGGCCACATTGCTAAGTCATCTGATACAGTAAGTACAGATACAAGTTCTATGGAAGGAGAATTCACACACAGATAGGACAATAAATCAGGTCACATTAATATATAGAAAAAATATAGGGGTAGTTGATGACAGGGAAACAATTTCAGTGGTGCTATTTCATTTCTGTACTAAACTTCTGAATCTGTTTCTGCATTTAGTGGTTAGGGCAAGTGCATACAACAACAAAAAACAGACTCTTGTTAAGAATACATGGTTAATATCTACATAGACTAACTTTGAAGTATTAAATATTTTCACAGTCATACTCCATAACATGGAGTACTTGTTCATGTTATGCTACACAACAAATCAATGGTTCATCCAATGTGAAGCAGCAGAGCACAGTTCAGATCTGCCTTAAAGCCTATTTAATTTTCAAAGTGTTTCTTTAAAAAGCTGTTTGAGTAGTCATCTGTACTTCCAAAGAGTTCTTCAACTCAGAACTGAATCACTGTGCTTCATTACGCTTTAAAAACATTACATGTTTCAAAGCCTAAACAAGTTTGAATTTTGATGAGTAAGTAAAGCTTGACCTTCTACACTTCTTTTTCCTTCTGCAAGCTGGACCAATACGCTCCTTTTACCACTTTTTTTTCCAGTAATTAAAGACCTGTCACATCAGGAAATCACCTCTAAAACTATCATGTAAATAAAACCCTTCAATTTATGCAGTCTGCTGTTCTTGCAGCTATAGGTCTAATACGTCTGAAGATTCTGGTGGTAACATTCCCCGGTATTATTCTTTAAAAAATCTGTATTATAGCCCAAACAATAGATATTAAGACTCATGTACCCTGTAGATCATACTACTCAGCACTCTTAGACACACGTTTAAAATAAAATATGGGAGACCTAATACACACAGGCAGGAACTTCATTTAAGGAGCTAGTATGGCAGTTGGTTCTGTCCTAAAGATCAGTTGTTACCTCCACAGAGGGAAAGAAAAATTCCAATTCTTAACTAGCATTAAATAATTAAAGATGTGACTTTTTAGTATACAGCACCACAGTGAGGCTGAAAATAAATGCACACTCAATGCTTATGTTTACAAAGAATGCTAAGGAGGACATTGTGCTACATGAAATGAAAAGAATTATGCTATTTAACAGAAACCAGCATTTTCTCTGTTTTGACAGATGTTTGCAAACAGTTATTATAAGCATCCTCATGAATCAAGAAAATAAAGCAATTTTGTTGTGTTCGTAAAAGGCAAAATTACAAAACATTGATTTATGTCAAATATAATTTTTATCTACATGATTTTATATTAGGTATAAAAATTTAAGAAAAAGACATCAATTGGAACAGCATCAGTGGCTCATTTGCTGCCCTACAATTGATAGAACCAACCCACCCATCTTCTTACTGAACCAGTAAGACATGGGTATTTCCTTATGTAAACATGCAACATGCTCGAGAAAATACCCATTTCGACAAAACCTTGACTTTCCTGTGACTGGAATACATATGAGAAGAATTAGATTGACTGGATACAGTAGATAACTTGGCACAAGAACAAGAAGTGAGTCATGATCACATTGGCAATATAGGCATTAAATAATTTTGTTCAGAAACTCACAATACTATCTGAGAAAGCTGTAGCAGTGCAACGTTGAGAGCAGCAGAACACCGCCTTCAAAAGGACAAGGGGACAGCAGCTTATGGAGGCATTTCATTTAAGCAATCCAAAAGGTCCTTCATGCAGCTTAGATAATTTAAGAATGAATCAAATACTTTCCACCCTCTAACCAGTTTCTGAAAAATACGACAACTTTGTGTAAAGAAACAATGCTTTTAAATGATCATTATTAGAAACTTGATTACATGTTCTAAAAAAAGTGTCAGTCAAACCCGTTTTTCAGTCACACCTGCTGTATTGGTGACTTTACATGCACTTGGTACCCTCCAAGGTCCAGGAGTTATTGGTGTTTTCTTGACCGGAGAACTATTTTCAGATTTGGAAATTCCATCATCTTTGGTTTCATCAGGCAGCTCCATGTGTCGCTCTCCATGCTGTCTGTTCAGAGTATCAGTCTCCTGTGCGTCGAGCCTTCTTTGTTTCTCCATGGAAAGCAGTGGAATATTGGAAAGGCTTGAAGTTTTGAATCTGCTGGAACTCAGTTCTCCAGAGTTTGACTTCCTCATTTTTTCCTCTTCGGATGTGTTTCTCTTAGAGTCACTGAATGGAAGGTTGCTCTCAAATGCTGCATATTTTCCCTCTGGAGACCACCCTTCCTTCTTTCCGGAACTCTTCTGCTTCCCTTCTTTCCTTGTGACTCCTATTTTACCATTTCCACCTTTCAGTTGCTCAACAGTCATCTTATCACCACCAGTTAAGTCAGGATATTCTTGTAACTTGCAGAACACTTCTGTGTTTCCTTGCTTACTGAGATGCTTTTGAGGACTGGCAGACCTGCCTTGATTTCCACTGGAACACTCTTTTTTGCTACTATTGTTCATCCCTATTTCTGTGAGTTTACTCTCACTCCTTCTGGAACTGTCAGGTTTATGTGAGAGATTGCCATAGCTTTTTTCAGGATCCCCCTTTCTAGGGCTGTGCAAACCTGTGTGATGGTGTCCCTCAGCTGCCCCTAACTTTTTTGGACTTGCAGATCTGTCTCTTCTGGTCCCTAATTCCAAACTACCTTTTGTGATTTCAAACCCAGGACTGGAGGGGAGATCCCATCTGTTATTTGTTCTCTGGGGAGAAGACAGAGGCTTCATCTCAAACTGGTTTTCAGTTAAAGTGCTTATCTTTTCAGGCACAGTGTTCTTTGCTTGTTCCAGTTTCTCAGACAGTTGAACTTTCATTAAAGCTTCTCCTGGTACTGGTAAATAACACACTTCAGATGGGGAAGCAGAATGTGAAGATGAAGATAATGGTGACTGTTCTTCATATATTACAGTTGATGAAGATGGATTATAACTATCCCAATCACCTGGAAGTAAACAGAGAGAGATTTGATTAATTTTTTAAGACTATTTTAGAAACGTGCATGCTACTGAGGTATCAGGATGTTACGTGAAAGCTTCAATTAAAAAAGATTCTGTAGTGGCATAATCTCAAAGTTTTATTTAGTCATTTTTCCATACTGCATTGTTCTACAACCTACAACAATTATAAGGAAGTGACTTTGGAAAAAGCTTCTGCTTATGCTGGCTGGATTTCTGTGGGACTGACATGGTCTTTTACAAGCATAATTTTAGAGTTAAAACATTGGTTACATTGGTTACAAGAAAATCAAATAAATGCTAAAATGTTTTTTTGCTAAAAGAAAATTGAAAATAATGAGAAGTTGAGGTTGTTCATAGCTTTACACTTTACTAATAGGAAGAGATGAAACACAAGACATGCAGATTTACCAAGTCTTTAAGGAAAACCCAAGAAAAGCACTGAAAGCCCTTAATGTTGCTCAGGTTTCACGTAGGGACACAAACTGGAGGGAGCCAAACCTGAAGAAGGAAGAGAAAAAGCCCAGAACTACATACCAAAATCACAGAGTACAGCAAGCAAGAATTTAATCAGGAATGTATGATTAACAGCAAGACAAGAAGCAAAACCTTTCCCTTCTTTAGAGTCACTGATCCAGTCCAAGTTGTTTAAACTTATCTCAGGACCTGACTTTGGCAGAGGGCTGGACCAGATGGTCTCCAGAGTTCCTGCCTGACTTTCTGTATCGTGTGTTTCTGCGTAAGATTTAGGAAATTTCCATGCACAAGAGGGCTGGCAGTGGTTCCAGATAGCTGTTGTGCTGTCCTCTTGGTGCACGATGAACACTATTTAGCATTGCTGAAATTATACCAAGCTTGAACAGCTGTTAGTAAGGAGAGAGATAGAGGTGAACCTCACACTGGTTCCCCCTGTTCTAGCTTGTAAATGCTGATTTAAGAGGACCTCAGCAGAAGTTCATCAGAACACAGAGGACTCTATTTAACTTTCACACTTAGTGACAAAGTAATTCAGTGTGAAACACAAACAAAGCCAGTCAGGAAGCTAGCAAGATGGCACAGAACAGATCTCTTGGGTCACAGATGGGCTGTTTCCATGCCATGCGCTAATTCACTCTGATTTTACTGTGATGTGCAATTTGGAACAGTAAGATGTTAAGAATTATCTTCTAGCTCTCTGGAGGAAAGAAGTGGAGAAACTTCTGAGCAGATTTTATCCCTTGAGCGGATGCCAGTTGCTGCCTGTAAATGACTGAACACAGCACACAATTTGGTAGTTCAAACTGTGTGTTTTAAAATTTTCAAGGGATAAACTCGTGGTTAGTTAACTATTACTGAAAAGCTCTTCATCAGAAAAAGTGACCTTACGATTTGTAAGATATTTACACAAAATGAAACCACACTTTAGATGACATACTGTGATCTGGTATCAAGCCAGTCCCTGGTCTCAGCAGCAGCAAAACTTTATTTCCTCCAGCCTGAATCAGCTCAATAGCTCGTGTATGAGTGATTCCTTGGGTGGGTTCTCCATTGATTTCAACAATTTGGTCACCAACCTGGTAAGAAAATAACAACCAGTTCAGTTTTTGTGAATCACGGCCACCATAAAATATTTTTTCATTTAGAAAGAAAAAACAGAGACAGATGC